CAGTATAAAGTGAGTTTCAAAATCAAGGCCTGGTTCTCCTGATTGCTCCACTTACTGAATAGATCTATGCAAGAATATTGCCACTTTTAGTCTTTGAGTTTGTATCTATAGCTCTTCTCTAGTACGAAACCCAAAACCCCAGAACAGAAACCATTCTTTCCAAGTAAAATTAGAATGAGCAAGTTTTCATGAGTATTTTTAAAGACACTTCATCTCTTACTCGAGAGCCACAGAATGTCAGCAAGAGCTCTCAGTTCACTCATCACTGAGCTCAAATGTGTTTGCTCATAAAATCCTTGAGCTAGACAGTTACTGATGTATGTGCCTACTGTTAAGAATGGAACTTTTCTCAATGAAGTTCATGGCATTATTCCTACCATTAAGAACTAGGCACGTACTTTAAGTGTGCTTAAATATCTTGCTAAACTGAATACTAATAGTCTTCAGGAAGAGAAACTGCAGCAAAAGTATTATACCAGAAGTGACTTTGAGCTTAATGAGATGGCACTCTTCCAGCAGAGTAACTATGCACTGAAATATGGAAAGTTAATTACTTTGATTTAAGCTTTTGATACACAATTCTGTCTAAAACCAGTGTGCTGCTCCTCCTGAAGAAGTCTTTAAGCTACACTGATACAACCAAAACCATATAGATGCATGTGACAGGTGAATAATATTTTCCATTTTTAAAGTGCAGATGTTCATTTATAGTCTAAGTGACAACATTCTAAATTCCAAGCATTTCCTGACAACAAATAGCCTATTCTTTCCTACGTATTCATTCTTATGTTGCTCTAGTGCAATATTTTACAATAGTAAATGGACACGGAAGAAATTATAGTACCTAAATTATGTACATGTGTGTCTCAATTTTAAGAGAAAGCTGTCTAAAACAAAGGGGTTTTTAATTAGTTTCAATCAGTAACCTAAGTATTTTATTTTGCAAAATACTAGAACCATAACTACTACAACCTCTCTGTACACCATAGAGTGCAAATCAGATAGCCACTTTATTTTAGAACCCATGTACAAGAATGCCTGACATGAAAAAAGGCAGAAAAGAAAATTCAGAGTGTGATTTTTAAATTTAAAGTGTATTTTAGGATAACGAAATCCATATTTTAGAAAGAGGCATAGCTTCTTAAAATAAAGTGTTTATGGCTATTACCTTCAAAGGACGACCCCAAATATTTTATCTTTACTTTCTACACTATGTTTCCATGGTCCTTCTAATTAACTTTAGGGATAAAATTGCATACCAAAGGTCAAACCCGACAAATCCTGTCATTATCAAGATAGCATTTGTGGTTTCTTCAACCGCAATGATGCCTGCTTCACCAACTTCTGTTGCTTTCTTCTTGCCTGGGCTTCCTGAATGGCACAACAAATCCTCTGTAAAGCAACGTATTGACAGAAAGGAAATTAAACCACAGTTTTCTTCCATAGGATATGACTAAGAGAAGCTAATTCAACAAACTTTAAAACCTACATACTCACTGGCTAGTTTAAGTTAGATACACAGCTTCTGATTCACATGCATAATATTCAACCCAGAAAAAGCTTCAGTGATACTGTCAATACTTCAGGTATGTGAATTGTTTGCCTTTAATAAGTTTTAATATACAAAACTTAAGACACTGCAATTTCAACCTTAAATTATTATTGTATATAGTCTCTGGAATGCTTTAGACTATGTTATCTCATTTTTTTCCTTGGTAACTCGTTCTTCAACATGAAAGCACAGTGAACGGTCCTCAGGCAGAGCAGCCTATTCTATAACAGGTCTCTGAACATTACCATCTCTTTCACATGCTGAGTTGCAAGAACTGTTAACAATATCAAAAAGAAAGAAGATAAAAAAAATAAAGATACCCTTGCTGTAGTTTCATCCTGAAGCTGAACTGTCTTTACACATTCCTGACCTGTACCGTCCTTCCTCTGGAACATCTTTTGATCCTGTTGCAGAGGGGAACAAAAATGTACTTCAGGTGACTCACAAAACAGGAATGCAGAATATGATACTTAAATGGCTTGAATGTCAACTTCAGGTTACATTTCCATGTGGCCTCTGTCCAACCCAACATACGCTTTCAAGAAAACTTAGTAAATCCTGTCTCATAGTGCCATAGTTAGCAGTTAGAACCATAAAATAAGTTAAGAGCATGTTTGGACCTTGTCCTGGTTTTGGCTGGGATAGAGTTAATTTTCTTCCTAGCAGTTAGTGCAGAGCTGTGTTTTGGCTGTAGTCTGAGAACAACGCTGATAACACACCCATGTTATAGCTGCTCCTCAGTAGCACTTACTCTGATCAAAGACTTATCAGCCTCTCATGCTCTGCCACTGAGGAGGGGCACGTGAAGCTGGCAGCAGGCAGAGACAGGACACCTGACCCACACTAGCCAAAGAGGTATTCCATACCACAGCACATCATGCCCAGTATATAAACTGGGGGGAGTCACCCAGAAGGGACCAATCACTGCCCAGGGCTGGGTATGGGGTGGCAGGTGGTGAGCAGCTGTATTGTGCATCACCTGTGTTTTCTGAATTTGAATTTCTCTTTTCGTTGTTGATCCCTATTATTAGCAGTAGTATTGTTGGTATTATTTCTATTATCACTATATTTTACTTTATTTCAGTTATTAAACTGTTCTTATCTCAATATGTGGAGTTTATATTCTTACCATTCTCCTCCCCATCCCACCTGGGGGATCCATGACAGACCTCTAAATAATGTTAAATTAGAAATGTTTACATGTTTTTCTTACCAAAACAGTTATTTTTAAAACATTTGCTTCATAACAGGGACAGCGTGTAAAGTCTTCAAATAAGTAATCCCACTCTGTTGTTAAATGGCCCAAGATTTCCATTTCTTTTACATGTATCAGTCTCCTGTTCAGAAGAAAACAGTTAATACTCGATTTCTGCCTGGGATTAGAACTTGCCAGAAAAAATAAAACAAAATGAAGACATTTCTTTGAGAAGGTATTTTCTATCTGGACTCAAAGTACCCACTCAGTCACAGCAGAACTATATTTCTTTAATATATGTTCTGAGATAATAACTTTGTCCTTAAGACTCACAGATGATCTATGGTATCGCATAGTATGTGCAGCCAACTTCATCAAAATGCACCCAGCCCTCCAAATCCAAACATTTTGCTAAAATTGAATACTACACATTCATCAGTTAATTCAAACCAGTACCTCAAAGTCAGCCTCTACCAGATGAAAGCAGTCAAACAGCTACAAGCTAGCTCCACAGTGACACAACTACTACTAGACTGACAGAAGATCAGTTGCCACTGCATACAGTTGCTAGCTCTCTGCCTTTCAATTACTCCAAAGCTCCAAGGTCAGTCTGCACACTAAGACAAAAACAGGTGGCAGTTTTGATGAGTTTATTATCAGTTTTCAGACCTGTACAAAAACTTAAGTCTCCATTTACAGTATCCTTTAATTAATAAGATTGTAAACATACATTATAAAAATGTTGGTTTGACTGTAAAAACTGCCTACAAGCTAATGTGAAAAGTCAGAAACAATGATATCCATGGTATGATAAAGGGTCACTGACAGAGTAAACCATCTTCCTGAATTAGTACCTAGTACTGACAACATTACCATATTACATTTTCCATACAGGAAACAAAATAAACTTTAAAAAAGAAAAAAATGAGAAGAAAATGGATAAGGAAAGTAAATATGCGGAGAATAGCAATCGGTTTAAACCTAGCAGATGTCTAATCCCCAAGCTGAAACGCAGACAAGCCCTTAGAAAAAGCCTTCAAGACTTAATACCTATTGGTAACAATAAGGCTTGCTCTTCTGCCTCTTGGAAGTGCACAGTGGTATTGATAGCTCTCTTTTTCCAGCTTTCTGATGTGCAATTTCTGAAACAGAAATAGAAATTAATTTTTGGCCTGTAAAAAGGAAACTCTAAGCAGGGGTTTCAATTCAAAAACCTTTTTAAAAAGTTACCTCATTGAACTGCTTCTTTGAATGCAGTCTCAAAGTGTTCTCACTCGTGACGCTGAGTCACTGAAAGGTCTGATCAGTCCCACTCAAAAGGTGGAACATTGACACTGCAGGATCAGACCTTTTTTCAGCTTTAATTTCCTTTCTGTGCTAATAATTGTTTAGTAACCTTCACTCTGTTACACCCCATGCTGCAGACTTGCCTCAAGAGTGAAAATCCTGCAACAGTACCTTTAAAAGGTGGCAGCACATGACCCAGATCCTTAGAAATAATCTATCAAGTTACCAATACTCGATTTACCTCCAGATCAGGCTTCTGAAGCACTGCATGGACAAGTCTACTCAACATCCAAAATAAGAAGGTATATGAAAGTACAGAACAAATTACCCAGCATGTTTCTGCTGGACAATGATAACTCAAGTGACAAACTATGAATACAGACTGCTGGAAAGAAGATCTGCACACCAGGACTTTGCCTCATTCAGCCAGTGAAAGCATCTGGATTCCATGTATGCTCAAGCAGTTTTGAACAAACACAGGGCTCCAGCACAGGAGTCACAAAAGCCGAGTCAGGGTCACTAATGTAAGTTATATTCTTTGACCACCATGAGCAAAATATAACTTACCATCTATTTCTAAAATAAAGAGCTTTCAGCTTTCATCACAGAGCAATCAACTGAGATGCTGAACTTTAACCTATGGTTCATGCATCTCAAACATATACTCCACCATCTACCAATAAATTTCCCAAGTTGTTTCTGATAAACGAGTGAGAACCAATTGAGGAGGAAGGGCTGAAAATTCAGTATCTTTTTAGTTATTCCTTGTAAAGATGCATTTCCTTCTGTATTTCAGAGCTAGATCAATAAAACTGGCAAGATGAAAACAGAAGCACAACTTGACTCCACATTTATCTACGATCAACCTACCATATAGAGTGTAAGAACTATACACAGTTTAAGTAACCAAAATTATGAGATCTTTTATCAACTCAGCTTGCAACAGAATTAAAAGATGCTCCAACATCTATTTATGTTTGCATTTTATTTTCACATATTTAAAAGTTCAACAACTGTCTCAAAGCATCACCATACATTGCAACCAACCCCAAAAATCCTTTAAGCTCAAAAGTGGATTCATATTCACGAGTTTTAATCAACAGCATAGTGTTTTCCTGGGTTTATTCCCTAGTGATGCAGTGACTGAAAAACATTTTAATTCAGCATTTTACAGCAACCAAAAATAGAGGGTCCACATCTTCTATAAAAAAATATCGCTTTGACCATCTTAAAAATTCCTGAAACTGCTAAATGTACGTGAAAGGGAAAAAACCCCAAACACCAGAAAGACTGCTTATGTTAAATTCTCTTTAAACATCAGAAGAAAGATGGCAGCATATGACTAAAATCAAAGTGTTAACTTATGCTTTATACCTGAACATTAGCTGGTTTAAAATCAAGTACAAATTAAAGAAATACAAAACCCACCAACATGTAAGACTGGAATTCAAAGGCGGCAATCCATATTCTGAATCCTTTTGTTGGCTATGCAGTAACGAGATCACCTCATATTAAAACAGATTTATTCATAAGCATGATCCTCTATTTAAACTCAAAGCTTGGTTAGAAAGCCTGTTTCTCATAACTCAGTAACAATCCTGATCGTATTTTTAGACTTTATATGCAATATGTTGCTGGAGTAAGAGTTCCCACAGAGCCCTGTGCCTAAGAGATGCAATATTTCTCAGCGCTATTCTCAGCACACCTCACAGACATCAGCACAATAACACTATGTAAAAAGGGGATTGCTCTTGATGCAAATTACTCCATGATCTGCACCCTCTTAAAATTCAAGCATCTTTATCAGAAGCTTTTACTTTTATATGAATACTAGAGCACTTGAGAGAAGTTCAGCTCACTCTTATTTTACGTGGAAGTGAAAGAACCAGTGCTAATTTACACAGCAGAAAGCTACTCAACCAGAAACAGAATCTGCAGTTTCTAGCATAGTATTCTCTTCTGCCACATCACACTGTCTCACCACCAGGTCTCAATTATTCATGAAGTGTTCTGCATTCTTTATAAAGCTCCATGCTTTAACTGGGAAATGAAGCAAAGCAATGCCATAGACATTGAATAATGTATGAACTGCATCATGTCAGACTCTAAGTGCTGGGCTTAGGAGACAGTCTCCTCACCAGAGCAGGCATCAATACCTGCGTATTAAAAGGCAAAGACTAACAAAGCCAAAGGCATTCATTACAGTTCTAGCAAATCTCATCACTCCTCATACAAAGATTAAGACTCATGAGAACTTATTCCCTGCAAAACTGTTCTCCTCAAGGTGCCCTGTATGTTCTTTATTTCACCAGCTATATTTACTATGCATTTATGTATCATAAAATACATTCTGTACTACAAAGCCTAACTGCATGAGCTAGAGACAGGGCCTGAAAGACCTGACTTTCCAGATGTTGAATTGACTGAACAGACCCCTATGTATAAGCCCATATATATTAGATCCAGCACTTCTGGGAAAATGCGCTGCATAAACAAGCTTACGCAAGTGCATTGACCTACTCCATCTGGCTACTGTCCTCATCCTGCACACAAAACACCTGAGTGGAAATAAGCAACTTGGGTTTGAAAACCTGTGCATATGCTCCTCCTAAGATGAGCTGCAATGTCTGTCAATGTCTGTACTGCACATCCAAGCAAGTATTTAAGTGAAACTTTCTTTTGTTCAACCACCTGATAGTATTGAGCCATCCATTCCTTAAGGGAACCTTACAAGGTTTCACCCTTGTAAGCATATATTTTCAAGGGACATATGCATTGAAGTCGGTTAAGAAAGAGATGAGATGGTGGAGATTCTGGTTAAGCTACTCCTAACACTGGGCCAAAACTGGATCCAAAAAATCAACACCACTAGTACCTGTAAGTTGAGTTATTTGAGAATAACTTTGTAAATCTATATAAAACTGAATTCTGATTTGTCTTCCTTGTTAACTATCCTATTTCCTGTAAAGACACTGTCCCTCTCTGGCTTGTAATTTATTTCAGAAAACAAAACCTTCCCAACACTAACCTCTTGCATAATAATCAAAATTAGTTGGTTTAAAAAAAAAAACAACAAACACCACCAAACAAACCTGTATTCAGTTAACTGACTTTTGAAAAGATGAAACTGTATGCAGTGAAATATAAAGAGGATTCATTATTGGTTAGCATACAATTCCAATCTACACCATTCAGATCTAAGAAAAATACAAGTATTAAACATGCAGGAATTACATAATATCTATTTCTCAGTGTTACTTGTGATAACTGTTCCTTTTTGACAGATGCAAAAAATACAGTGCACAGAACAGAAGTATCTCATTACATGAAGAATTTCGGTCAGCTCAGTATGTCACAATGACTTCATTTCATCTAGTCAACTGAAATCAAAATTCACTAAATGATTTATTTTCTTAAGCAATTTTAAATTATATAAGCCAAGTATTCACATTAGGCTTTAGCAGAGAGATGTCTCTGCTCAACTACTTTTCTGTGTATCAGAGGCAACCAATTTGCTGAGAACAGCTTGTGAATTTATAAGATGGGGCATTAGAAATCATATTTATGCCAGCACTTAATTTAGAAACAGATATTTATATATCTGTTATATATATATATGTAAATTCATGTTAACAGCTGAAAATTTACATTTCAGTATGTTGAACAAGAAGGCCTCAGAAGACTCGGTGAATGAAACCAGAGTCAACTGAGCTGGCTGTGTCTTTTAATTGACAAAATTTCATAACAAAGTAGTAACAGCAGCTTGAAGTCTTGAAGTGATAGTGGATCATCACATGTATAAATGGCAGGCCTATGGCATAATTCAGAAAATACAAATCCAAGTTTTCTTAGCATTTAGATGGAAACAGTATTTCTATATCATGAAATTATAAGCATTTTCACAGAATATAATGTCATTCAATTTCACTATTTAAAGTTTTACCCAAGTATCAAAATGTTGCTTTCTCCCTTCTTCCACAGCCCTAGCTCTAGGAGAACACTTATAAATGAAGGAACAGCATCTACCCTACCATGGTTTGGTTTTTTCCCCAAGTACCTTTTGCTGCTGCCATTCATAAGGAGCTACAAGTCCTTAGAAAAACAAATATCTAGTTTTAACTGAAGATGGTTAGTTCAAGTTTATTTGTTTTTCTTAGGCAGGAGAACATGAAACTGTTTTATTCAATTGCTACACAAAAAAGATAGGAATGAAGTAGCAAGGACATGTGAAATGCAATCATGCCCTTAATCTAAATACTTAAGGCAGAGAAAAGACTGTGACAAAAATAAGGAAGAAATATGGAAAAGGTTTACTCCATTATTCCAGTTCTTGCTGCGTATGCCAGGGGAGAAAGAGAAAGAAGAGTAACATTAGAAACAGAATAGGAGACAAGGACTAAAAGAACATCTAGAAAGAAGTAGCAAATATGCACGTTTTGGTCTTAAATTGTTGGTGCAGACAGTTCTTTCACTTTTTAGCAACAAAACAAGCATTGTAAGATAAGTTTTGAGAACATGATAGCTGAAATATAAATTAACTGGATTACCATTAAGACTTGGAAAGAACTATTATTCATCCTCTATATTTTAGCCAGATCCAGATGTAAACACAAGTGCAACATCCACACAATGCATGTAGCTATGACACGTTGCTACTAAGAACAACATAAGGCAACACAAAAGGTGGTAGTTTGAGAATTCATGTAGTTTTTTCAACTGCTGCTACCACCAAAAAAAAAACCGAAAGCCAAATCCAAAACCAACCAAACCAAATTTCAGTAGTTGTATTTAAGCTCTTCCTGTCTCATTTAAAAGTTTAGTTTATAAATCAATCTGAGATTTGTTATAAAGCAAAACATTAGAACTGAGTACCGAAGTGGTTTTGTTGCCACATACTCAAATCATAATCTTAGTAATTCTTAATAGCACTACGTCCTTCCAGAGAGTGAGATATGCTATTACAGAACATAATGGGCAGAAGATCATTTAACAGCAAAACTGTAGGTTTTGTTGTAGGGGCAAATTTTCACTACAGGTAATGACTGCCACAGGTTCCTGGCAGCTTTATTTTTTTCCTAACATAATCCTTATGGAACCCTATGGTTAGAGAATTTTAACTGTATTTACAATGCAAGTCATACCTCAAATAAATCATAACCCTCAGCTTCCACCCTATCGTATGGTCGGATGATGCCATCTTCACGAATGAAACGTGGAGGACGGAGGTTGGATACTTCTTCAGTTGATTCTGCCACCCTGCAACAGACAATAATTCTGAGTTTCAACAATACATCTTTAAAAATCCCCCGTTCACTTGCCACATAACCCTCTTGAACTTCCTAGGTACTCTACAAGGTGTAGATAGTAAAAACACACTGCTAGTAATAAATCCAAAGTAACATTGGTCAACTAGATAGCTACAGAATAATTTGCAGAAGTCTACTCCCAACCACAGATAATTTACTAAGGGTTCTCATGTTTATTAACACATGTGTAAGTTCCCTTTAAAACACAAGAAGCCCACGATGTGCGCTGCTAACCAGATTTCAAACTGGCAAACAATTGCAGTGGTTGATTTTGTTGGAGCAAGTGTAAGTGCCATCTAGCTATCTGCATTCAGCACTACACAAATCTAACCTCAAAAGTGAAGTTTGCACAAGATCTTTTGGTTACTTTCTGATCAGGGGAGGGAATGACAAGAGAAAATTGAGTAGTTATTGATTACCTCCACTCCAGCGCTGCAAGATGTATTTTGAAGCAGCAATTTCCAGATCATCATAAAATACATTCATTAGAGGCTACTTCACATCTCTCAACCCCATCTATCCTAGTGCATATTGTACTTACTACAAACAGTTGTGTGTTACTACTGGACCACTTTACCACCTGGTACCCAGTATATGGAGATTAAGTACTTCAGAAGTTCCTCCTGACATTTTACCTTTGAATTCCCTGGAAGGTACTGCTTGCCATATCTACAATGCCTCCTGTTGGGCGGGCTACTACCCCTACAAGCCCCTTTCCAATGCCTTTAAAGAATCCAGCTGCACCTTCTTTTTTAGCTCCTTTAAAAAAAAGAAAAAAAAGAACATAAATAGTTTTGAAAACATAAAACACGGAATAAAACCATTACTGCTACAGGCTGCACTAGAACTGGTCTGTATGGGAAACAACCCACAGCAATTCATCATGTACAATCCACTCACAAAAAAGCCCTTCTCCATGGGAAGTCACACATAGCTTCCCTGTCTGTTCAAACACATGGCTATTCACTTAACACCTTACCAGCCTCTGAAACCAGCATAACTAAGATGTTAACTCTTTCCCATACTTCCACTCTGGACTGAAGGCCAAAATACTAATTTTTATAGGTGGATAGGTGGAAAATAACAACAAAATAATCTAAAGACTCTTAAGAATGCACAGGTACAATGGAAGTCAACTATTTCTATCTCAAAATTACATCTTTCTGCTAATACGCAACTATGGAAAAGCCAAGACAACGTTTAGAAAGCATGTGTTCATCCACCAGTGAGAGAAGGACTACACCTCAAAGTATCTGCCAAAAAAGTATAAAATACAATACAGTTACAAATAACTTCTAACATTTAAATCACTTTGACATGAGTTTTAATAAGAAGTATTTAATCTTGTATTTCTTCATCATCTGTCATACTGATAAAGTGACTGTGTTCACAAAAACATACTGATCTCAGACATAAAATCAAATATGCTTTTATAGATTACTCCAACCTTTGGAGTCTCCAAAAACCTTCTCACTTGTTGCTTTTTAATCTATTATTTTTAGTGGCTTTTTCTGTCTTCAAACAGTAAATTGGGTACTACAGCAGGCCTAACAAAATATATCATGAAGATACATTCACCTTTCCTTAATTCATATGAAGGCTGAAAAGGTGGTAAGCCAATAACAGCTAGGAATAGATTCGAGTAAATCATCACATAGGGTCACATTTGAATTAGAAATATAAAGATGATTTTTAGACTGCACTGGGAACATAAACCAGATCAGTTTCATGATCAATGATTCTATTGTATTACAAGTCATTACCATAAAGTACAATGGGATTGTCGTGGTTTAAACCCAGTCAGGTAACTTGTTCACTCACTCCCAGTGAGTGGTGCCAAGCTGACAACAATCAAGGTCCGTGTTCGTCTCCCCCCCCTCCCTGCACCGGGGCTCTCCCCTTCCCCGCTCCCGGAGGAACGGGGAGGAGGATCGAGAGAGTGCAACTCCTACGGGTTGAGACAAGAACAGTCCAGCAACAAATCACCACCGCTACTATCAGCTAAAACAATGATAAGGGAAAATAACAAGGGAAGAGAATACGATACCACCGGCCAAGAAAACGAGTTCCACCCGGAAGCCCCTGTCCTTCCGGGCAACTCCCAGTTACCCCCCACCCCGGGCATGACGTGCTGTGGTATGGAATACCTCCCCGGCTAGCCCGGGTCAGGCGCCCCGTCTCTGCTTCCTCACAGCTTCCCCTCCTCCCTGGCAGAGCATGAGCCTCACAAAGTCCTTGGTCAGGGTAAACATCACTTAGCAACAACCGAAAACATCGGCTTCACCAACGCTGTTCTCAAAACTAGAAGTCAAAACACAGCACTGCACCAGTTAACACAAAGGAAAAAACATGACTGCTACTGCTGAACCCAGGACATATGCCTTATCCACACTTGGTTTAATATTTCTTAAAATTACAAAGTAAATTATAATGTATTGGGAAACCATTCAAGCAGCGCTGTGCAGCCTTACTGCTTACCTTCTACAGGCTTCGTGATTATGCCAGTCACACCTCCAACAACACCCTAAAATGAAGGAGATAATTATGCTCCTACATAGAAACAGGAATGTTGTAAATCCAACTAGGCAACCAGTTGTCTCTCATCCTTCATTTTAGAACTTTATGATGAAGTTCAACATCAGAAACACTGTTTGGCCGGGGTTTTGGGTTTTGTTCTTTTTCACTTTAACATTTTAAGAAAATTATAAACAAGGGACAGAAAAGAGGGAGAAAACCTAAAATGGGTGAATCAATATTTATGCTAGCAAGAAAGACCAACAGGTGTTTTGTACAGCAAATCAGTCTTGCAATAATTAAGAAAGTCACTGTTTCACTTTCAGAATTAACAGGAAACTGCACGAATTCGGTCACGAATGAGTGATACCACATATTCAAGATAAATTAACATCAAATAACTTCTTTAAGTGAAGTTATTTAAAGGTCAAGTATTTTAATGACACTAAGGCAGAAGACTAAAACTCCACTTCGGTAACTTCCAAATTTGCAGCAAACAGTATCAGAAACAACTCCACAATGTCTATTACTTATAATTATTTAGAAATAAGTTGACTGCTTTGATTTTAAATGGAAAGTAATAGAACTTATTAGAAGACTCAAATGGCATTCAGGTAATACAGATCTCTCAGTAATGGTTTACATGATTAGATACTAAGTAGCTCTTCCCTGTGAGGGTGCTGAGACACTGGCACAGGGTGCCCAGAGAAGCTGTGGCTGCCCCGTCCTTGGCAGTGCTCAAGGCCAGGTTGGACAGGGTTTGGAGCACTGCGCTAGTGGAAGGTGTCCATGGGTTGGAACTGGATGAGCTTTAAGGTCCCTTCCAACCCAAACCATTCTATGATTCGTGATCCTACTTAACACTTTAACTAGGAACAGATGTGACCTTACAGCAACCTGAACAGGTTCCTGATTTTAGATTTAAAAAAAAAAAAAAATACAGGAGTTGAACAGCTTCTATTTCAGAAAAATCTCTCCAACCAAACACAGTACTTACCTTTATACACATTCCACTTGCTTTATGTTTACTTCAAGTCAAGAAAACCTAGCAGTTTTTATAAGACCTCAGCATAGAGAAAGCCATTCCCAGTATGCAGCACATGCCCAGAGCTCCTAATTCCAATTGATTTTAATAACAGAACTGACTGCAAAGTAAAGTAAGTGCCCAGTTACTTAAATTAGATAAAACATTCATTGAACATGGAAAACTACTTGTTTATTTATATGTCACGGGAAAAATTAGTAATACTTCCTACACTTTTCCTTTCTGAGACCCTACCTTCAATTCCCTCAGGTTTGCTAAAAACACAACCTTAAACACTGAAGCTGACAGACTATTCTCAGTCTCCTATAAATCAATTGCCTGTTTGTCTCCTGTATTTAGTTCATGAACTAATAAAGAAAACTTTTTTGCTTGTAATTTTCAAGCATTAGTTAAGGGTTGGCACATCAACTCCAAATTCCTACCCGTAACAAGCCTTTTCCTCCTTTTGCCAGGCTGTCACCAAAGTCTTTCGGCTGCCGACCCATTTCCTCTCTTCGTTTCTGCTGAAACTCTTTATCCATAGTAATAGCAGCCAAACCTTTTCCAACAGAACCCGTGATCCTAGACACCACTCCTGCTGCACCACCTGATGGAACAAGTCAGAAAGCAAAAGTCACTGTTTTTCGCAATTTAACAGCAAGCAACACACAAGAAACCACAGAGATCAGTGATTTCCTTCCATACTCAGTTTAGATATTCCAAATTATGCTGTGTAACTACCACATGCTGTCCCTGTAAAAACTCCAGAATCTAGCCTGAAATCCATAAATGCAGCAAAAGGTAACTCTTTAAATGACTTCAGTACATGTTATACAGCATACTGGATGGAATAATACTTCCCATCATTACCACAAACACATAGCTAAATAAAAATCTAAGGCAACTGCAACAGTAGCTGCTCTTAAGAACAGTTCTTGGGCTTCTCCAGATATTTTAGGACCATTAGAATCATTTTCCTTATTCATCCACAGCATATTACAAATGCCTCCCAGTTTGCTTGCTTAGTCTGCAAGACAGACATTTAGACAGTCTCAAGTAAGATAGGTATGAATGATATATCATGACTACTGGCAACAGTAACTGACATACACTCATCAAAAAATATCACATAGATATGTTAAAAATATAACTTTGCTTCAAAATAAGAAAAAAAAAAGCAATCCATGAGTTAACCTATGAGATACATACCCACTGTGTGCCCAAGAAGACTTCTAACACCAATTACAAAGCCTTCAGCAAATTCTTCAGGTCCTTGAACTGCACCCTAAAAATAAAGTTTATTAGTAATAACAGAAAACTATACATTTATGAGTCTGTTTCAAGAAATACTAGCAATTCCTTTACATTGATAAAAATAAGGCCATTTGAATAAGTTATTCAAGTTAGCATACAGAATTATTGTTTTCTTAGCTGTTGAAGGGGCAGAGTACAGTGGCAACAAAACCACAACTCTACCAGTATATTCAATCAGCCTACTATTCATCCACAGTTGAAGAATCAGGAAGTTATACCTGGAATGGCTCATAGAAGAAAGCTTCAACTCCCTCAGACAAGCCTCTGATTAAGCCGAATGGATTTCCAAGAACATCTAACCCAAGTACAAGAACATACATCTGTTTCAGGAACTAAAGAAAGAAAAAAAAGGGAAAAACAAAAGCAGTGTTATTATTTATTGTTACACACAGTTCCATGCTAGAGCCCACGGTAAATTTTTTACTTTACTATCCAAGTAAGGTGTTAGAGTACTCAACTAAGTATTCCTACTAGAATGAAGACAGGCTTGGGCAAAAGATGCAATATATGTGTGGATAACTACTAGAATACTTTGGTGAACAGAGATACACATAAAAAGAACAGAAGCAATCACTTAGAATTCTTAACACACATTGTCAGGACACTTCTGTATTTACATTTTCATAATGTGCCACCAGATTCCTACTTCAGCACCACGAAATACAAAATTAGTAGCTTTTAGAGGTATTCACCTTTTCTTTCTTATTTTCTGCATTCTGTAAGACACATAAAATCTTACACAAAAGCTTGATAAAATAAGCTTACTTGTTCACTATAATGTCTAACAACCCTCTTCATCAGCTGGTCTCTCTTGTAGAACTGATACTTAATTTCAAAGAAAGCAAGTCTGAAAGACAAGTAATCACGTTAGTTATAGATACCCTTCCTCCTTCTAAATAGTTCTCTTTTCTTTCAGATAATCCTGAAGCCCTCTTCTCTTAAAAATGAGCCCAAGCCCTACCTTCCCTCCACTCCTCCTTTTTCCCAATGGCTGCATACATTTAAACTAGAGTCAGTTTAGCATTGACCCAATTATTAAATGCATAGTAGCTTTTCTAAAACCAAACTTCCTTAGCTTACTTGAAAATAAGATCATCCACATCTGTTAGAGTAGCTCCAATACTTTTCAACAGCAAATTCAGAGAATGGATGGCTATCATCTCTTCCCCTTTATCTGAATCTTCTCCACCAGAAGACAGAGAGAGACTCAAATGCAGCTGTCATGACAGAATTAGTAAAACAAGACAAGTGAAGACAAAAAGATAAACGCCAGAGAGGCTGTGTGGTGCATATGCAGTGGTGCAACAGTGATAAGGTGGTTTTAGTTGCTCTGAGGAAACGTACAGTTTCAAACACGTTTGAACTGACAGTGGTATAACTTCCGTAACATATGTACTTATTACTATTGCCATAGAGAAGAGTCAGATTGCCCTAGCTTTTCTCATGTTTGCATCTGTAAACTTTGTGTAAACACTTAGAGAAATGACATGTTAAATAGGTGGAGCCTAATTTCCAATACAAGTTAAATTTTGAGTTCTGATTTCTTTAACTAGCTTGTGTGTATTTTTGCAAATAGTCATGCTTTTGGGGAAATACATGAACTTTAACACTGCAAAATGAGATTGCTTAGTGTGGATAAGACACTCACTTTTCTTAGGGGTGGAGAGGGCATTATCCAGTAGTTTAAAATATTAAGATAAGTCACTGAAGTAAGGTGAAAAAAAACAGGAGAAAAAGAAGCCCAAGCCCCTTGCTGTACTTAACAGTCAGTAAGTACATCTACACATTTCACATAAAAATACAAGAGAAACTTAAAATTATAACCATTTCTTCAACAACTTCAACCAGACTAGCTAGAGGTAATATTAAAATGCCACAATAGTGTCTTGTTCTTATAGCATTTTCCCTGGTTTCACATTCCTAAGTTTATAAGCACAATCATATAGGAAAAAAAACAGTAATAGGGAAATCTAAGGGTATCCTAACAGATACCAAGTGAAATAACTAAAAAGTTGAAAAAAGTGCTGGAATTTCATCATCTGTATTGAGGTCTATGCCTGTCTTGTATATCTTCAATGAAAAGAAAAGTAAGTGATTTTTTTTTTCTTTCAAATTCTTATTCAAGCTGATAGGGGAGCATCATGTTGATTCAGAACAATGAATAGTTACTGATGATCAACCTTTCTTGCTCCAAAAAATTGAACTGGTTCAAGACAGACATGAAGACAAGCCCAGGAAAGTATATTTTATTACAATTTATCACATATCACCTTCAGGTCAGCATTTTATCTAGCTTTCCTCATTATTATACCCATTGAATCTTCCCACTTGGTGGTGGTTAAAGGTGCATTGGCATTCATAGGCAACTAAAAGTTTTCCAGCAAAGTATTAAGTTCAAGAGAATGTAAATGTAGCCAGCCTGAAGACCTTGATTATTCAAAGTCTGCTCTGAGGATGTATTTAAGAAATTGAGAGATCATTGCTATAAAGTATTTTATTAATCAAAAGTACCTCTATTACATACCTTTACTGGAGAAATGTGGAAATGCTCAAAGAAGCTGAGCATTGACAGGTCTGTTAGGGAAGACTCCATTAGTTCAGTGTTAAGAGCATCCACATCTTGCTGAATTAACTTAGACTTTTATTAAAAAAGGAAGAAAAACAGAAGTTTATCTCATCAAAATACATGTAATATAATTAATAAAATTCTATGTAAATTTATATGAAATATACAAATGTAAGTAAACAGCAAAAATAATAATCATAGTCAAATCTAATAAAAAACTTACCTAACTAGTTAAATAGCCAACATCTCCAAAACTAGAAATAGACTAACTACTTCTGTATACTTGATTATAACTGCACTAATACATTTCTTTAATCCAGGGGAAAAACAAACCAACCAACAACCCCACAAAACAAAGCCCCACAGGAACCACACACAACAATTTCTGCATGACTTTCCATTTTATGCTTTATGACTTGATATTCCTTAAATTGCTCAATCACGCCAGGTCTCTCTTCTAAATTAATTTAGAAATATTAGTGAAGTAACTCACTTCCTGAGGGTCTTTGCATTTTTGTATTTCCTTACAAAATCAGAGTTTTTATATTGTACATCCAAAGATATAACTTCAACAAAAAAGAAACTTGTATGAATAACTCTCCTACACACACTAGAAACAAATGTGATCTTTCTGAATACTATCCACCTATATAAGAACTAATTTAGAGTCACAAAAATCTGTTCCTTCTGCTCTCTCAAGACAAAAGATACTGTACACTGACATTTAAAAGTACATTCTATAAACCCTAAGGTTGTTTCATGTCACCTGTAACACATTGTAGCCACAGCTAAAACAACTGTGTCAATCAATGAAACATTAAAACACCCAGAAAACAGTCACACACACCCAAGTAGAACAGTTACTCAAACTTGCCACTTGGTAATGTTCACAGCCAATTTAACAGAAATAATCAAAGCTTCACTGACAATTACCTCACCACATCCCTTTAGCTCCTGTTGTCAAATACAACGTTCACTCATTTAAACCGAATTTTCAGAAAATTACAATACTGCTACTATAAAGGCCCTGTTCTGCAAGAATGAGTTTCCCTCATACGTTACCCGTTGTTTCTCAGCTTCTGGGTCTGTAGATGGGGTGAGAAATTCACTCAGCGCTCCTAAAAATCCTTGATCGATTTTAAGTGCCATTTCCTGGATGAGAACCATGAAGTACCTAAAATGGGAAAAAACAAAACAGTATATAAACATAGAAGTTTAATTTAAATATCACGTTTACCCTATGTAACTCAAGTTTTGTTATGCAGTGTTGCATATTAAGACATACAATCTACAATATCAACTATTTACAGTTAGAAGAGCTTACCAGCCTCACAAAGCTGTATATTACTGTAGATTATTCATAGCCTAACACTATCAAAATAATCCAAAAAATACTAACCATCACCATATACTTATGCTCATACATTATGATTTCATATGCTCCATGAATAATATTATCTAAACAACATATTACTTCTTATCCTACAGCCTCTCCCCAAAAATCGTATTATAGAACCTTTCTTTTATTAAAATTCACCATCCTCAAATCTCCTATCCCTAACAGCTGGATACAGATACTTGCATTAGAAACAATCAGCGTAATGTTTTTAATTCATTTTTGGTACAAAAACTCCAGATGCAACTATATTAACTAAAGAATTGTTGTGGTTTAAACCCAGTCAGGTAATTCGTTCACTCACACCCCCCTTCTTTCCCTCCCCCTACTCCTGGAGGGACGGAGAGGGGAATCGAAAAGAATGCAACTCCCACGGGTTGAGATAAGAACAGTTTAGTAACTAAGGTATAACACAAATCACTACTGTTACCACCGATGATAATAATGATAAAGGAAATAACAAGGGAAGAGAATACAACACCTCAGCACCAGCTGACTGATAACTCGCCCCCCAGGCCCGACCAAGCTCCGACCGATACCTCCTCCAACCCTGCAGTTTCCCAGCCCTTCTGGCTAACTCCCAGTTACATCCTGGGCATGACGTGCTGTGGTATGGAATACCTCTTTGGCTAGCTTGGGTCAGGTGTCCTGTCTCTGCTTCCTCCTGGCTTCCCCTCCTCCCTGGCAGAGCATGAGGCTCACAAAGTCCTTGGCCAAACCAAAACATCCTTGTTATCAGCTCTGTTCCCGAGCTGAAAGTCAAAACACTTCACTACACTAGCTACCAAGAAGGAGAAAAAATGACTGCTACTGCTGAACCCAGGACATTATCCACCCCTTATTCCATACCATTCACGTCATGCTCAGATCCCACATTTTCAATATACCATCACTCTTATCTAAGTGCATGGACCAGTAGCTATAAAGCTGCTGAGTCCATCTGGTCCATGATGTCAGGCTCCATCTCTTGTAACAGTCTTCCAGAGCAGGAGAGACTGTGTGCAGTGTTCACACTCATGAATAATCTGGGCAATAGTGTCCATTGCTAAGTCCACCCCTCGATCATGAGTCCATCTCTATGTTGCATCTCTGCTCTGATGGCCTGAAGTGCCATGGGCCCACCAGGCTCAAAATAATTCACTGTCCCCTTCAGCAGTTTCTGCAGCTTGTTGCTGGGGACTCCACACAGCTGCCTTCCATCTCCGATGCTTCCAAAGCACTGGAGGGGCCCAGTGGACTAGATACTTGCCCATACTGTCCCACACACCCTGCCACTCATGACTGTCCAGCCTTGGGGAAAATCTCTTGGTCTCCCTGCATTGTTGTCTAACCCCAGACAAGACCCAAACCTGACTCTGCTTAACTTTTGAGATCAGACAAAATGGTTGTGGGTAGAACACAGCCTGTGTGTGTGCCAACATGCTGATCCCCATCACGATCAGCAGGCAGGTCCCAAGGATACCCAAAAGCCATTCAGAGCCTTCAGAACTCTCAGTTGATGCTGCTGTACTTGTCACTGGGGCTGGTGTAGCTGCTGTGCTTGCCGGCTCTCCCACCACCGGCTTCTCTTTTCCTGAGTCCAGCTCTTCCTCCTCTGCCTTGCTGGGAAATGCTGCGTGGTCTCCTGCATCCTCCTGGGGCTCGGCGGGTGGCTGCCGGGGAATGCTCTCGGCCGTCGCGGAGCTGGGCTCCTCCGCGGGGCTCGGCTCCTCCGCGGGGCTCGGCTCCTCCGCGGGGCTCGGCTCCTCCGCCGCCTTATCCCGCTGCTCGGCAGCCGCTTCCTTCTGCTCCTCGACCTCCCCGACCTCCTCCACCGGCAGCCGTCCCCTCGCGGCCTCCGGCCCCGCTCCCGCCGCCGCTCGGTCCCCGGGGCCGCTCTCCCGGGCCGGTTCGGCTGCCGCCGGCTCCCGGGGCCGCTCCCCCTCAGTTTCCCGCAGCCTCACGAAGACGGAGGCGAGGGCGAGGGCCAGGACGGTGAAGAGCAGCCGGACGGCCAGGTACAAGTCCACGGCCACGTCCGTCCCGCCCTGCTTCTGGAGCCCGCCCGTATTACAAGCCATTGCCATAAAGCACAGTGAGACAAGAACCTTAGCCCAGGCCCCACACTTGATAAACACTATCACAGCAAATACCGGCTCTACGTAAGTTACAACGGTCTGAAGCTGTGAGATCAAGAAGAACAACTCTGATACCCAATAAATCAGCATTGTGACGAATGACTATTAATCCAGTCAAATCTGTCGTTATCTCAACCCTTCGGGCCCCACGTTGGGCGCCAAAAAGAACTGTTGTTGTTTAAACCCAGTCAGGTAATTCGTTCACTCACCCCCCCCTTCTTTCCCTCCCCCTGCTCCCGGAGGGACGGAGAGGGGAATCGAAAAGAATGCAACTCCCACGGGTTGAGATAAGAACAGTTTAGTAACTAAGGTATAACACAAATCACTACTGCTGCCACCAATGATAATAATGATAAAGGAAATAACAAGGGAAGAGAATATAACACCTCAGCACCAGCTGACCGATAACTCGCCCCCCAAGCCCGACCAAGCTCCGACCGATACCTCCTCCAACCCTGCAGTCTCCCAGCCCTTCTGGCTAACTCCCAGTTACATCCTGGGCATGACGTGCTGTGGTATGGAATACCTCTTTGGTCAGTTTGGGTCAGGTGTTCTGTCTCTGCTTCCTCCTGGCTTCCCCTCCCCCCTGGCAGAGCATGAGGCTCACAAAGTCCTTGGCCAAACCAAAACATCCTTGTTATCAGCTCTGTTCCCGAGCTGAAAGTCAAAACACTGCACTACACTAGCTACCAAGAAGGAGAAAAAATGACTGCTACTGCTGAACCCAGGACAAGAACATACATTTCACAATAGAACACGCTGTACTAATGTAATGGGCTTCATTAGAGACTGTATGAGCTGTCTGTTGTTAGAGCACCTGTCCTGGGTTCAGCAGTAGCAGTCATATTTTTTTTTTTTTCCTTTGTGCTAGCTGGTGCAGTGCTGTGTTTTGACTTCCAGCCTGGGAACAGTGTTGGTGAAGCCGATGTTTTCAGTTGTTTCTAAGTGATGTTTACCCTGACCAAGGACTTTGTGAGGCTCATGCTCTGCCAGGGAGGAGGGGAAGCCGGGAGGAAGCAGAGATGGGGCGCCTGACTCAGGCTAGCCAGGGAGGTATTCCATACCACAGCACATCATGCCCAGGGTGGAGGGTGACTGGGAGTTACCCGGAAGGACAGGGGCTTCCGGGTGGGACTCGCTTTCTTGGCCGGTGGTATCGTATTCTCTTCTCTTGTTATTTTCCCTTATCATTGTTGTAGTTGATAGTAGCGGTGGTGATTTGTGTACATTGGTTGCTGGACTGTTCTTGTCTCAACCCGTGGGAGTTGCACTCTTTCGATCCTCCTCCCCGTTCCTCCGGGAGTGGGGGAGAACCCCGGTGGGGGGGGGACACGGACCTTGATTGTTGTCAGCTCGGCACCACTCACTGGGAGTGAGTGAACAAGTTACCTGACTGGGTTTAAACCACGACAGCACCCAATAAACCCAGCACTGTATGGCAAACAGGCAGACATGCATCTTGTAGCACAAGAGGGAAATCGCCCTGATTACTATGTAATTTGCATAACAGCTCCCTTCATGTGGTCGGTCCTGACTTTCTACAAGTAAGTTTCTTCTAGAATGATGTTTTTATTCACTGGAGCTGTTTAAAAATTCAATCCAGAGACAAGAATTGTTTGGCTATGAGAATGAGAACTTTAGAACAAGGTTCACTTCAAAAATGCATTGTCTCTCAAACTGTACTACAACACACTATTCAACTCACTTGAACTGTAGCACTTTGCTGTATTCATTGAATCTAGTGATGACACTGATGTCAATGAAGGGTTTTGGTTCTAAAGAGGAAAAAAAATGACTTAATTATATACAAAAATTATATTGCCATGTTACTACTTTCAACGCTGAATAAATCTCATTCTCTTACCTGAATCCAAAGCAATCGACTTTGGAGGGGCTACAGGGTGAAATACAACAGGAAACATCGATCCTGGTAATTGGTTATCAACCTAAAAAATTATTCCATAATTACAGTAATATTTTAATGACATCATAATCAAAGACCATTTCCATCTTAGAAGGCTTGAGGCTATATAGATTGTATTGAAGAGCCACCTCATTCTTATTTAGTGGGAAAGAAACAAGAGGAAGAGGATTACTCTCATTATTTTGGAATGTTACCTATTCAATTATAAAAGGTCAGATGGTTCAAAGTGTTGCAGAAGGGATGCTTTCGTAAGTTCACACTCACAAAGATTCATTTAGAGGGTCTGCAGCTGATGGCATACATGGGCTAGAAGAGTGAAAATTACCTTAAGGCAAAAATTAAAGTACAAAAGATAGAAGGAAAGAGGAAGCCCTTCCCCACCAGCAAATCAGAAAAAGGCTCAATGACTGCCCTCCCTTAGGAGACTCTGAAATGCAGCAAATGGAGCTGACAATGAGAATAATGATGATTTCTCATCATCATTTTCTTCTGGTACCAAAAACTTCTCACTAGTACCTCCTCAAGCACTTTACTGGTTAATTTAACAACACCATTAGTCCTGACTGGAGTATGCTAATCACTGCAAGTGTTGCACATTAAGTCACGGGTAATATTACATGCAGATATATTATTACATGCTACTTTTGAGTATTTAAATCTCTATTTTCCATCAGACAGGTAGTTTTTTTTTTTCCTGAACCTCTATATACACTCTCTAGAATAACAGTACACGACTATGTACAAGATAGAGCTTTTTGTTTGGTTTAAAACACTAAACACTCTCTTTTGAAATAAACTTTCATCATAGCACCCTGCTTTATATCTACCCAGTTTTGTGTATTTGTCTTTCCCATAGCACTCACAAAATCCTGGGATGGCAGTTCTGCAGTACTTCATAAATTTCTAGCTCCTCTGCTACTCTGATGCAGTGAGGAGAGCACCATATAGGTACAATTTAGAGATACTTCTTCATAGAAACCAAAAGCCTTAAAAGTGTCTGTTTAGTTTAGAGAACATGATAGAAGATGCGGTACCTGCAGCCAATACAATTGCGCCCGTAAGCTTCTTTGGTGAGGCGACTGCTTGAATTCAACCTTAATTCCTGGCAAGAAGTTGCGTCGGATGCTGCATCTGACTGGGAGACGCATTTCCATTGGAACCTTGCTAAAATTCACCTAAAATATAAGAAGGGAGAGCTTCCGCAGCTTAATAAAAGAAATAAAAATATGTCATGCTACTAATGAGCAGACTAGCAAATAAAAGCTGTGTTTTTCCTTATTTCATGATCACACAGCTACGGAATTACTCAATCCAATTATCTTCATGGAAAGGAACAAAAACCACAAGTTACTCCAATAAGCACATTACACTACAACTTCACATGCCCCTAGCAGGAACCTCTGTGTCATCTTAGTGACTATTTCTTTATGAGCTACACATTACACTGGCGTAATAATTAGATATTTACATGCAGCTGAGTACTTTCCCAACTGATGCTTTTACCCTGATCCTGAGAAGCAAAAGGAAAAACCTCTCATTTATTCCGAGTCAAATGTAATGACTTATATATACAAAGTTTTGATATGACATAGTTCAAATGCACTACTGCAATATACAAAACTTCAGTATTCATATAACTGGGGCACCCATGTTTTTCAAATGAAAGGATGATACTGAAAACAAGGCTGATTATGGTACTGTGAAATGCCTGTATTTTACTTAGCCATTTGACCATGTTACATTTATGCATGGAATACAGGCAGGTATAATTAATATCTGAAAAATTTCAGCTAAGTGAATTAATTTCCAGAGTCTTTGAGCACTATAGGCCCCTTCATCATACCAAGTCATGGGAACTGCAGCTTACTAAGAAGCTAAAGCCAAGATTCTGCAAGAATTTAAGTTACAACCCTGAGAACACAGGTTCATTACTAATGTGCACACACCAAGAAATCTTTTCTACCACACAAAAGCAAAACTCCTTGAGATTCTTTCTTCACAATACAATTCTTCTAAACAACTCAATACTGCCTCTGCACTGCCTCCATGCCAAAATATTCTCCTGTGTACAATGTGAAACTATTCCAAAAAAGAGCTTGCTCTTTTTCACGTTTCTTTTAAAGCAGCATCTATCCTTACTTAGCAGCACAGAAGTCTGTTTTAACAGTTACACATATTCTGCAATCATTCTAACTCTGAAACCTCAGAACATACCTCAACATTGCCGTCTAGTTTATGCCAACCTGGAGCTTGGGAAGCAGTCTTACAAAGATACTTCTGATAGGCTTGTTCCAACAGATTTATTTGCTTTTGATTAAATGGTTTCCACTTTTGCTTCTGTTTCTGTTCCCAAACGACACCAGAACTGCAAGACAAATAATGTTAATAGTTTAAAAGTAGTGAAACCTTTCCTATGCAAAACTATTGTTCACCATTTTTTTAATAGACTCTAAGAAAGAAGGCAGTTAAATCCTGTATATTCAAACTGCACAACAGGAATAAACGCAGAACTTTATTTTACATAGAAAGGATCCATTTATATTAATTTAATTTGAAAGATATCGCCTTCAACTCAAATGTACTGCTAACATTACAATATGCTGTCAAATTTTGATTACTCAAAGGAATAGTTAGGCCCCCATGTGCAGTACCTAGTAATTCCTATATAGGAGATTTCTTTTTTATTTTCATTGTTAACAAGAGAAAGTCCAAGACTATGGATTGACAAGTTTATTTCTTGATCAGGTTGCTCCAGCTCCTCTGCTTGTCGTGCTTTAGAAACTAATGCAACATCATCTGTGAAAAGTAGCACTCGTTGACGTCCATCCAGGAAGGACACCCAGTGTACTTGAGTATTTGCATTGTAAGGGAATTGGCCACATTCATCCTGTATTGGGAGGGGAAAAAAAAAAAAAAAAAAAAAGAAGTAGGTATATAAGTATATCACAGGAGTAAATTCATGAAGTATTGAACTCCAAGAAGTTCAGCTGTGAGAAACCAAACCCATTCCCAGTCTAACTAAAATACAAACTTGCTTTCCTGTCCCTACTTTTAACCACCAATATTCTCAGTTTTCTTAACTCTGTGCCTAGTCAACAGAAAAAGCAAGCCACCTCTGAATTCAGAGTTTGGTAAAAGGGGCCAGAGGGCAGCTATTTAGAGACAGACACACAGGACTTTATTTAGCCTACTGGCCAGTTAAGTGAGAAAAAGAAAAATATCTTTCTCCATCAATGCTTGCTTCTCCATTCTTTAACCAAATACTTGTGCCCAGTCTTACCCTAGATTTACTTCTGCTCCTAGGTATAGTTCCCTCTTTCCCCCACTCATTTTCTTTCTAGATCACTGTTCTTTTACCCCCACTTCATTAACTTTTCATTTTAATATTGCACAAGTCAGAAACGCCAAAATAGCTCTTAGTGAGCAACTCCATGCAAGCATTCCCCATAAGAACAGAGAGTCACAAACAGCAGGGTTTTTCTCCGTCTTCAGGGAAATTCTTTAGCCAAATGTAGCACTGCTAGGCAACTGGTGAATTACTCATCCTCTTTACTACTTGGATACATCCACAGCTCATACACTTTATCCTTCTTCTTTCATATACAAGAACACCATGGAGAAAATGCAGTTTGCAGTTTGTGTCCTGTCCTCCAATTACATTAATCTAAACATCTAAAATCTAGCTAATTGAGAATAGGTTCAGAAGTCTCTCACAGGACAAGTGAGACTCAAAGTTACTCAAGAAGCTTTCTCCCAGCTAATTTTAACCTTGTTGTAGTCCTAGATTGGTTCAGCATTTACTTCTCCCCTTCTGAAAATTACCTTAAGCAGGTCATGTTCACCAAAATTTTGGGAGTAACCCCAAATCAGTTTTCTTGTTTTAGTCGGATCTGTCCATGCAAACAGGCATACTTGCTTTGGTTTCAATTCCATTTCCTCTTGTAATCCACTGCAAGTTCAAAGAAAATGAGTAAAATGACAGCATTCCTTGGTTAAGACCACTGATTGAAGTGGTGCAAGGAGATCACAGCACTCTACCCCTCCCCAGCCTTATGGGGTGAGGCATGAAGAGCCGAGGGCATCCACTCCAAGCAAGTGAACTATGATCTCTACTCCCCCTTTATTCTCTGCAAAACTATGAGACTTCTTAAAAGTAGATAAAACTATTCTCTAAAATAATACAATAAAGAAAAGGGCTTTCTCTATTTTTCAAGGTACCATAATGGTAGAGAACTACTTGCTTCACAAAGGATGCCCCCCCGGTTAGACAACCAAAGGTGAATTGTTTCTTTCACATACCTCTGTTTGTATCTGAGAGAGTCCCATGAAGTATGGTTAACAATAAGAGCTGGAGCAGCTCCCTCATGGTAATCCGAGAAGCTTATGAGAGTAGAATGCTCAGAAACATTCACATCTACCAGCAAGCCCCCATTCTGGAGAGAAAGTTAGAAAGAAAGTTCAGTATTTGTTCTAGACATAAACTGAAGATGGAACAGACTAAACTTATTTTTAAATCAGTCTTACAGTGCCCTTTTACAAATCAAACAAGGAAATGTACTCTACATTATCCAGTAACAGTAAGCTCAAATACATTGGGCACTGTCTTAAGACAGACATCGGGAACATCCACATAATACTTACTGATTTAGCCTCATTGAAAAGTTATATTCAGATTGTATCATTTTTACTTACTTTATTTGCCTAAATTCAGTACCAAGTAGAGGCAAATACCCCTTTCAGTTTCTGTTACAAAACTTGACATTCTATTTAAAACCTGCAGTTTCCTGCATGCTCCTTAAAAATCTGAAGGACTACTCTAGACAAACATGTTAAAGTCTTTAAAGGTACGATAGACATAACAATAACTGATCACTGAGCAGAAAAGTTCTGTTGATTAAAACCCTCAACAAATCATTCTTGAGTATCTTCTAATGGCTTTCAAGATTCTGCTTTCTTCCAATATATTTGCAAGATATTTCCAAGATACATATAGCACAATTTTTCTCATTTGCTTATACAAAGGAGGCACCTCATGCTTTTGCTTTTGAATACTCTCTTCAGATGTCTCTATCAAATGCTTGTATAAGCAAGATAAATTGACATTTTTGTTGGTAAGATCTGGAGAAGAGATGGAAGGGGACACACCTACTTTTGAACAAGATGATTTTACAGATTGTCCAGCTCACATCAGAGGGATTTGAGAAATTATGTTTAGCACTCTACACAGTAGTAGTAAAACCTCACTACATACAGGACTAGAAAGGATTCTACTGCAAAGCTGAGCTATTTACTATTACAGTCACAGAATGGTTTGGGTTGGAAGGGACCTTTACAAAGCTCATCTAGCTCCATGAGATCAGGCTGCTCATGGCCCCATCCAGCCTGGCCTTGAACACTAAACACTTGAACACTATCGTAAAACAGTGAAGAACACCCCCCCTCTCCCCCCTGTTCTAATGAAGTGCAGCAAGCAACAGAACAGCAAATCACTGATGACATCTTGTTCCAAAAACATTTTTCTTAATTGTTTCAGCAAATGTGGAGAGTTCAACTATCCTCACAGTCACCTGTATTTCAGCTAGTTATGATAAACACCATCTCCAAACACTTGTCTGATCATTCTACATTTACATACATGCTTAATGTTAGGCTAGGGTAAGTTTTGAAATTATTAAAATTGAATCATAAACTATTTTAGCCATGAACTGTGTCTCCATGTATTAACTTATCAAGAAATCAAAAAATACATTCTATTTTAGGATCTTTACACCAACTGAAGGCATCTAAGAAATGCCCTAAGCAAAAGAACACATTAGAGGTGGAGTATTCCATTTTTAGTTCAATAGCAATAGAGCTGTTCGGCTTCCTATAAGCTTGTCAAAACAAAATGAGTACTTCCCACAGCTATGAAAACATTAACAACATTGATTCCAACATTTTTTATGCAACAGAACTGAAGTGCACTGCACCAACAGCTTAAGGAACAAGGCTGCAATCTTGATCACCCTGGTGAGTCAAGCTTTCCTAAGTTCAATATCACAGAGCTAAAATGAAGTATTAAAACCAGACCCCAGAAAGCCAGTCTCACCAATTCTTCCAGCCTCAGCAGAGTACCATTATCCTGGGCTTTAAACAAGAATGGTCTGGATGTGCTTTCATAGCCAACTACTCGTACACAAAGTTCACCAGATGAGTTTTCAGGCCAAAATGGAAGACACTGTAAAATAAGAAACATGCACAACTTCATAGTTCATATATGTTCAATATAATAAGCCAGCAGTAAACCAAAGTCTTGTGGGACTAAACCTATTTCAAATGCATTAGTTCTTACCCCAGTACCTACTGATTAACAGCTAATCTACCTTTAGTAAATTATCTAAAATGAAAGACTTGATGAATTTACTAACAAATGCAACCTGTGCTATTTAATTTATTCTGAGATGTGATGTATCCATATCCTGCCATCAGAAGTGATAGAGCTTCTGTAAAAGAGCTGCTTTTTCCTTAAGTGACAGCTAGAGACCAGTCATTTGTCTACAATAACTTCCAAAGGAAAAAAAACCAGAAACATTACCTCTGAAGCTGAGATATAATTCCATTTATTAGTTGGAAAAGAGCCATTAGGACCAATTTCTCCAACTTCTAGTTCCAGTGAAGATTTGTTTGCTATTGTGTAGAAGGGAGTGAAGGTAACAATCCTGGTAAGGTTAAAAGTACTCATCTTGATGCTAACCCCCACCTGTTGAACAAGGACAAACTGAGCAATCAACAAGCTTAAGAGAAAAGCCAGGATGAAAAACAAGAAAAGCCAACATTTCCTGTAAGTACAGACTAACATACAACACTTCTGTTCTGAACGCCTGCAACAGAAGAGCCAAACAACATGCAGTAAAATGAGCAAACCATGCAACACAGTTAACGCAGTGTCAGAGCTTTAGCTGTAGCATTTTCTAGCTGTAGCATTTTTAGGGAGAATCCAACAGGAATGCCTCTACAGTAAATCAAGACATCCTCAAATGATCATATCATGAGAGATCAGTTATAGAGTATACAGAAACACAACACCCCACATATCTGCATAATATTATAAAGTAGATCCTTTATTGTGCTTAACTGTGGAAATGCGGTCTTAAACAAGGCTGCTGAGTGAAGACCTAAACACTTGCAAATAACCTGGAATTTTGGATATGAACTCTCACATCCACTACCTGAGTTCTCCTATGTCTAATACTATACATTTAGGGTATAAACCACATGCTTAGGAATTACACTGGAACATCTGTTGGAGAAACTACTTGTCACATCATGCAGACCTGACTGGCTGGGGCATAAAACTTATTACCGTAGATGTTAAATACCATCATGATTTAAAAGCACTGCAAGTAGTGAAACAGAGGCCTTAAGGAAAAAAAGAAGACAAGCCAAAAGAACCCCACGAGAGCCCCACAAAACAGAAAAGTATCTTACCAGATAGTCCATGTTATTAGCTGGACACCTGACACATCCATAGCTTCCTACGGTATCAAGGGAAAAGCTACTGGACCACGTGCTAGTTGAAATACATAACTGGATCTACACACAAAAAAGAACAACATGGAAAGTACTTCAATAAATTAATTTTAATTGACAAAGAAGAAGAAAGCAGCAGCCAAATAAAAGTCTACAGATTTAGATACTACCTTAAAACCCCCTTAAACCAAATGTGTGTTTCCCCCCTCAGAGCAGGATTTTATACCACCACCACCACAACCAACACCTAAAATAAGCAAACCTTATTTTTACTGAAAATATTTTTCTTTTTAAAGGAGAACAAAACAATATCTCTGTAGTCTGCTGGATGCTTCACGTGAGTGTCCTCAGCTCGATACTGGAGAACACGGGAAGTCTTGTTGATTATCCAGTAAGGACTGAACACAGACAAGATCACACGGCTTCCAATTCTCCTTGTGTGTATGTAAATATCTACAGTCATCACTGTTGCAGAATGGGATGTGAAACACACAGAAAAAAATTCAGGCATCCCACTGCGGATTTTTAGATGCCCATTCCAGTCTTGTCCTTGATATTTCATCAACACAAGCTCCATTATTTCTCCATCAATTCTGGAATGAAAAACATCTGCAGCACTCCCTTCCATCAATTCACGAGCTTCTGCTGTCCCCTGTAGCCAAATTAAAAGAGGCAGATGAAGTTTTTAATCTATGAAATTCAGGTATTCAAAAAACAGCATTTTATTCTTTTCTTGCAGGATGCATGTTTTGGATACCTTAGTAACACATGTCCCAGTTTCCAGTCACTTTCATTAAGCCTGATCCTAAGAAAAATTAGAGATCAATTGCACTTTTTCTGCAGGACAGTAAAGACTGCTTAATTCTGGATTTCAGGAAGGCAAACTAGTTCCACTCCCTTGTCTCTGTTCTTCCCATTCTCCTCCATGATTTCCAGTGGATTTTGGCAATGAGTTCTTATTTATATACTTACAATACTGGCTACAACACTGAATTGGACAGTTCTGCAGATGTACAGCCAAGACTTTTCACATTAAGTAACACCCAAGGCAGAAAGCTGGCAGCTGTGCCATATTGTTTGATAGCCCAGCTTTCATCAGGCAGTAGCATCTAACAACAACAGCTTTCCTAATTTTTACTGAGAAACAATGTATTTTACTGTTTTGAATGGTAAGGGACGTGAAGACAATAAGCACATACTCATCTATGGGTACAGTGACTTCACAGAGATTTTACTCTATTTCTGGCTCCTCAGTCAAGGCACTGGCACTCTGTTATCCATTCTGTGACTCTGAGTGCTCCAGTACACAGTGAAGGTACGAAAACTGGAAACAGTGCCATTGGGATTTTGAAGAGAAGTGAAAGAAAGATATAGATAAATGCCACAGCCAGCTACAGGAGTAGGACACCACAGGAAAAAACAGGATGATAGTTCTAAATCCTCACACCTTTTCTGTTTGCTAAAATCACTCAGCTGTCTTAAAAAAAATACTAGATACTGGAAATACTGGAAGAGAAGGAAAAATAGTCTGTGTAGCACACCACAAAGAAATGTTCCCATTTGTGCAAGGGAGACCTTAAAATAGTCTTTAGTAAAGAACCAGTACCAGAACAGAGAAAAGTTGTGTTTTGTAAAGAGAAGAAAAGCATAAGGTTTTTCTTATGCCTCAACCTGTGAAACCAAAGATATCTTGCAAACCACAAACACGATCTCAGGAAAACGTAAAGGAGAAAGACCAATCCAGTACAGAAGTCACATTTAAGAAGCAAAACAGTACTGGCCAGGTACACACAAACTGAAAAGAACTAATCCCCAAAACTCCCAGAATCAATCCACCAGCTGACTCATTTACAATAGAAAATACAAAACCCAACGTTCAGTATCTTCCACACTACATTCACCTCCACTTGTAAGTAGATATAGCCTTACTTAAAATCAAATAAAGGATTTACAAATAAAACCATGAAATAACTTACCTCAAGTAAATATCTCAAGGAGTAAGGTAATAGATTCCTCACAGTCAGTGTAGGGTGAAGGTGGATAATGTAGGCAGGATCCCACTCCTCTCCGTAAGTTGAAATGAAGTTTAGTTCATCAGGTACAGCAGTTGAGCTGATGATTAGAGGCAAGAAGTTTGTCTCGGTGGCTGGGCACTGTAACAAGCACTTTACTTCATTGCTCCTATGCAGCTCTTCCCTCCAGGCAATGTAAGTCGTGGACTCTTTAAACTGACCCTCTAACATTCCTGCTGGTCGAATGTATAAATGACACCTATGGAAAGAATCAAAGAATGAGTAATAGTACACAATAGCTTTGCATTGACAACTAACTTCATTCATTTTAAGACCCTTTCAGAAAGGCTTTTGCAGCACACTCATTGCCTAGTAAAGGTAGCATTTTGGTTTTTTTTAGCCTAGGCCAGAAGAGTTCCAAGTGCAAATGTAAGCTTCCATACGCTGTATTTGTGCAGTCTCACAAAGCTTAGCCCTCCAGAACAGAAAAAATATACCTGTATGAATGTAAAGGAACATGAAATTCCTCTTCTGGCTTGGATATGCCAATTGGCTCCAGTGACTTGGAGTCTCTAGCCAATTTATAGATCATAAATGGGATGGAGAAATGGTTCTTAATCTAGGATCAAAAAGCATAATTCTCATTACATTTCTATGGTGCAAATTTCTAAAGGCAAAAGTATGAGTAACAACAAGGAAGAAAAAACATCGGTAGATTTAAACAAACTCCGTTGGAAACAGACTTCTGTGCATCTCAGTAAGAAATACAATTCTGAAGAATGATATGCAAGTACATGAGAAAACTGCTACTTTAAAGTTAAATGAACTGAACTTAATTGTAATTGAAGACATGCTTAAAATGTCAAGTCACATAAGTACCACATATTCCAACCTCAATGTTGAGGATATTGCAAAGCCAAAAGTTTAAAGTAAAAACCAAATTTTTCATTTATCAGGAAGACACACAACAAACAGAATATAGATAAAAAATCTTGTAATAAACAGAATCAATCTCTTCTTAATAATTTGCCTTTAGGTAACTTTTTGTTCTCAAAAAAGAAAATGCATTAAGGAGGAAAAGCAAAGTTGCTCTGAGAGAGAAGCATTGATTTCAGCTTTTTGGTTTCTTTGGTTGTTTTTTTTTACCTGAAGAGGAGATCGTACAGTAATAACCTTATTTCCTTCCGTAGCATCTATCTGTACAATGATTGAGTCTGAATGATTAACAAGGTTTCTGACGTTGTACAGTCGTCGACCTGGTTTGGCTATGGGAATGTTTACCCCTTCTTTATATCCGTGAAGTCCTAATCCATAAAAATATACAAAAGTCTTGTGAATTAGGCAAAACACATCACATCACCATTTTCCAGTTGAACAAACTTCATCTTCTCTAAACTCGGCAACAACCCAGATCAAAGCACTTTCTGGCAAAAGTATCTTGAAATGGGATTTGAGCACTACTTCTGCACATCTGCAGTACTTCTGAATTCTGATCACATGGAATTTAAGCATATTGACTCCCCCATCCTCCCATTCTTAACATGTCAAAACACATGGTGTTCCCTAGCATAATACCTAAAGTCAAGGAGAAGACGGAGCTTTCTTGTCGGTGCAATGCAGACAACTTTCCTTGTTGGGGCACTTCAAAACCAGAGTATTCCAGTTCCATGTTCTGACCAATTTCGATATCATTCATAGTTTCTTTTTCAGCTGAACCAATTATCCGTATACTTGAGCTAGGAAGCACTTTGAGAGCAACACCGAGGGCATTTTTCACTACAAAAGGTGCTGTGTCTTTAAAGGAATAGTCAAACGTGGATGCCGTCCCTTCTGAAAATGCCTGTAATTAACAACATATATAAGGTGTCGTACACAAATAGCCGCATCAACGTATATATAAAGGCTTTTAACGACCATTCCCAGGAACCACCATTTTAAAGAAAAAAAAAATAACACATATATTAATACCTATGCTTTGTATAGCAGTATTTCAGGGAAGTAAACTTTACTATCATGGGAGTAAACTATTACTACTATCAGGGAAGTAAACTTTAATATCATTACTATTCTGTGATTAGCAACACATGTTGATGCTACGATGAGCATTCACACTCCTCATACGGAATTTGCTTTAAGTTGTTGAGTACTAAGAGAAAAATCAGATCTGGAACACATAAGTCCCAAGTACCTTCAACACATACATACTTCATATTCAACCACAACTTATGCTTACAAACATCTGTTTGATTACACAGAAGCCATGGAAACTGACTGCCAATAGAGACTTACAGTGTAAGCAAGTACCAACTTAGAGAACCGTTACTCATTTAGAATGAAGAACTGAATAGCGATTACTCACATTCAGTAAAAATATCCTGCTTTAGTAACCAAAACTTTTCCCCTCCCCCTAAAAAAAGGGGGAAGAAGAGGAGCATAGGACATTCATAAGCACACACATATTACAAGAAAAAATAGGAAAAAAGTGTATTTAACACACTAAACATTCTATTTCTATGATTTGAAGGCAAATACCGAAATGAATACTTTTCTTAGTATTCTATTAAGGACAAAAGATGGAAGGGAAGTAAACTTCTAACACAGAAACGTCTTTCAAAAGCTAGCATCACCTTTTTGTTAACCATAAAGGACTAATTAGAGTGAAAAAAAGCTTCCTACAGAACCACGTAATTTGACACCTTCTGCCTGCTGGGACTACCTTGGCTAAATTACTGAACACAGCAAGACAACATTTGGATATTGTTATATTCATTGTATCCTTCGAAGCTATGTTAACTGCAGTTTGTGGCTCAGGAAGAACAATGAAGTCATCTCCAGGCATCAAACTCCTCTCTTGGACAGGGTTAGTCTTCATCTACAACAAAAATTGCATTAGGCAATTATGAACACATACGTTACTTTTCCTCTGTTAAAACAAAAAAAAAAAAAAAAAAATGGACCTACACTTGACAATTTCACCAAACAAAAGAAAAGCTACTTTCCCATGAGCATCCCGACCACCTTACACAAACAAATCGTACACCACTTGCTTTCCTCTCTGTACATGTGGTAACACACTACATTTTGCCCATGCATTAACTTCCTTCAGAAAAACCTTAAGATGTCTAAAGACTGATATTTTATAATGTAAAACAACCTGGCTCTCAAAGCAACAGCAATCAAGAGGTTCATGTTGCGTCACAAAGTTTTTTAAGAAGAGCTGTCTGTTACAGCTTCTTCACAAAGTTTCAAGTCCGTTTACATACTTCCAGCTTTAAACTCCATTGCTTCTTTCCCCCTTCAATTTGTTCAATCAGCGGCTCCCACACTGCATAGGTTTCATTGTAATAATGTATCTAAAGAAAGAAACAAAATTAAATAAGACAAACAAAAATAAAGAATGGAGTTCTTTCCACTAACAGTATAAAAAAATATAGTGCTGAGAAAACAATCCATGCTCATTTCACATTTTGGAGGTCTAGTATTAACTTTTAATAGCTTCAAAAATTAATACACAAATATGTAATGTATGATACATATTGCATAAGTGACATCATTTTTGAAGAACTGACAACCTGGCTTGCTTAAAGCAACCAGACAGCATGGTAACACCTCCAATTAATATAATCAAGTCTCTAACCTTTCCTACACTGTTTGAGAGAATGACTTTGCGATCAGAAATCTCAGCACTGCAAGTAGTTTATTGTACTATGAAACAACCATTAGTCTGAGAAACCTTTAGCCAGAACCTGGTCCACTGGAATAATTCATCTCACTCATAGCCTATACCTGCTTCTGGAAGCAGTGACTTCCCCAGTTGTATGTGATTAGGCATACACTTTTCCACAGCTTGTTATGACAGGCACATCTAGCAGCGAAAGAAGGCTACTGGTATATCCAGTATAAAATGGAGTATGAGGCACATTCCATAAACTGACAAAATACAAGATCTAGTTACTCTATCACACAGAGCAGCTGCAAATCTGGATGTATGAAATTTTAACATGCTGCCTCTGTAAAAGACTTATATCATCTTTAAATTACCATATCTTAGGGAAAAGAGTTTCAACAGCTGGCAAAACAAGTAAGGTGTGATTACAATTGAAGCTGCGATTTTGAGAATAGAGTGTAAATTCTATCTTACCGATACACACAATGCTACAGAAACAAAAGAGTGGTCAATAAGAGATAAATGGGAATAGTCAACTAAGCCAAGTTCATTGTTCTTACAGCAAGAAGTGAACATGCAAATACAATAGATAAAAAGGGAAGACTAGGCTATCCCACAGTAGCAACTGCCATTAAAATCTGCCACTGATTGCAAAGATTCTCTAAAACGGCATTATGCATAGTCACTCTTGCCTGACTACTAAGAAACTCCAAAGAGCATTCCAATTTAAACTTGCTACCAATTTAGCACATAGAAAGTGCACTGAACAGTTAGTTGAATGCTATGAAACATGCAGAAGTGTTTTAAACTGCTAACAAGTTGATTCTACATACCTCCAGTGACATATCGGCAGTGACTGCCATCATTGAGGACCAGTTTTTAATGACACCTGAAAACACAGATTCGACTAACAATAAAGGGACAGTACGATGACCCAGACCACATTCCAAGGTAATCTGAACAGATTTCACTACAATGTCAAATTTCTCCTGTTTCAAAATATGTTCACGGTCTGTAAAAGTTTCTGTTGCTTCCGTGGCTATATCAACACCAAGAAACCAAGCATTGCACTCGTCTATAGGCTTCACTTGCCACAGGTTCTCAGGAACTTCAGTCACTCCTCTAGAATCCTCCTCTGTTGGTTTGGGCTTTATGGCAGCCATAATGGTCATTACAGTGTTCAGAATTATTGGTGAGATCTTGAACAAAGAAAAAAAAAATCCCTTACAGCTTAAAACATTTTAAAACTGATACAAAAGATACCATCAATGGACACTGCAAATATCTCTCAGGTTCTTTATACAGGTAAGATAGGCAGCATTAAAGGCCCTTATAAAAGATGCAACTTAATCATGCAAATCATGTTAACAGCCTTAACAGTATATGTGCTTTTGTGCATACTTCTGCTTACAAGTCTCTCTGAAGAGAAAAGCAGTGGTGGAGGCAGCAGTGGGAAAGGACTGTTTCATAAATTTGAAAGACTGGTAGCAGGAAGCCCAGTATCTGAAGATTTTAGATTAGTCCTTTTTTTGACAAGAACTTGTCAAAACAAGGAATATGTAATGATTGTTTTCTAACCCAGAGCAGCATTAAAAAGGATAAATGGCTATTTCTGGCATTCAACTCATAGGGAAAATGGAAATTTTAAATAGCAATATGTAAAAAGTTAAAAAAAAACAAACCAACAACCAAGCTACAGCTTGAGAAACACCCATTCCTCCAAAGACAGCTTCAATCATCTTACCTTTACAGTAAGTTCTTCTATTGTTACTACCACAGTTTGCATCCCTGAGGCATGCATCATATTTTCCATGACCAAAGAACATGGTCGTAACACCTGAGTGAAAAATTAATTTGATTATTAATATAACTCCTGGAATCTAAGCTTTCCTAATGTTCTTGTACTTTTTATTCCCATAATAGAACAAAGGGATGCTGCTTCCATAAGATATCCCATTTCAGAAAAACAACATTATTTCTTACCGTAGTAACACTATTGTCTTGTTTTGGTTTGAGAAAAGCACAGGCCAACACTTTGAAGCCCTTCACTTGAGCAGTCATCCTTTGTGCAAGCTTTCCAGATGTCAGAGAAAAATCACATTGGAAGGAAACTTTTAAGGCAGGGGCATCAGCATTGGTCAAATTAGCAACAAATACAATTTCTGGATCTAGGATCACAGCTTTTACTGTCATATTTGGCCGTGTAGATATTTCTGTGAAGTAAAAAAATCCATTGAATATAAGATGTTTGAAAGCATTATCATGCACATAATACCTGAACCATGAACAAAAAATTGCTACATAATTTAGAGGTACAGATTTAACAAATAGTGTCTCAATTTTTACAGGAATACATTGCTGAAACGGAATAGGACACGGTGTTCAGAAATGAGCAGCAAACTGGTCACAAGTTTTGTTTTGAAGAAGCTCCTTAAAAAAACAGTATTAGCTCTATACACTGTAGTCAACCTAAGCACTGGCACTACAAATCCAAGTTAGAAATAGTTATCTTGTGGCTCAATTCCTAAAGTAACTAACTTCTTCAGAGTGAAGATTTACTAATTGAAACCAAATCAGCAATATACAATTTCTTGTCTGAACACTCAGTCTCCAAACAGAAGGGGAGAATCTTAACATATTTATCTAAGTTAAAAGCAAGACACTCTAACCTAGTGATGGATTCAAGTCACTTTGGTTCTCAGTGTCCTGGGTTCAGCAGTAGCAGTCATTTTTTCTCCTTCTTAGTAGCTCATTCAGTGCTGTGTTTTTCACTTTAGCCTGGGAACAGCACTGATAACACCGATGTTTTTAGTTACTGCTCAAATGTTTACTCTGACCAAGGACCTTCTCAGTCTCATGCTCTGCCAGGGAGGAGGGGAAGCCGGGAGGAAGCAGAGACAGGGCACCTGACCCAAACTAGCCAAAGAGATATTCCATACCACAGCACGTCATGCCCAGGATGTAACTGAGAGTTACCCAGAAGGGCTAGTTCACTGCTCGGTCGGGCTGGGTATCAACAGGTGGTATTGTATTCTCTCCCCTTGTTATTTCCCTTATCATCATTATTATTGGTGGCAGCAGTAGGGGGTTTGTGTTATACCTTAATTACTGGACTGTTCTTATCTCAACCCGTGGGAGTTACATTCTTTTGATTCTCCTCCCCGTCCCTCCGGGAGCAGAGATGGGGGGAGAAAGGGTGGGGAGTGAGTGAATGGGCTGTGTGGGTTACTGACTGCACTTAAACCACAACAGTTCTTTTTGGCACCCAGCATGGGGCACGAAGGGTTGAGATAAGGACAGGAAGCTGCAGAGGCATCACTGTTTGTAATTAGAGAAAGACGAAGTGCAGGACCACTACTCACACCAGGTTTTTTTACCCCATCCATCTTTTCCACCACCACATTATGGTAGTGTGTGACCTTCCTGCACACTAGGACCCACTGTAAGGGTTACTCACATCTAACACTTGTTGGCAATATCAGTTTATCACATCTATTCAATGGAACAGGTGCCAATTTGAAGCTTGGTGCACTAAAGGAAAAGCAAAGCCAGTAACACAGTTGGCTAGTTCCAAGAGTAAGTTGCTCTTTTTAAATCCTTAACTACTCTGTGCATGGCACTTTTTATCCTAAAGATGCTTCCTTTGCAATACTACATTGCAAAGGAATGAAATAAATCCTATCTAGCGTGAGTAATTTTTATATATTTAGCTCGGCTGAAGAGCACAACTCTACTAAACAGTCTTACAACTACTACTGCTTAAAACAATGGTATAAGTGGCCAATTTTCACATTGTGAAGAATAAAATTCTTAAGTCTGACAGCAAGATTGCATCTTAAATACTTAAGGATGATTTATTTTCAAGGATGGAGTTTGTAAAGGAAGGCAGTTGCAGTGGGAGGTGAAAGTAAGTTTTACAGACCTGTTTCTGGCTTGGATTTCCCAGGAGCAACATGCTTTAATTGCAACTGTGCAGATCTTTCAGTTGAGGATGCTGGCATTGAGTTAATGAAAAAATCTGCTACTGTCAACAAAAACTCCATACTGGCACATATGTACAGCTTGTCAAGGACAGCAACGACTTCAGTTCCATTTTTATCCTGCTTGTAGTTTATATCTATCATAGATGTGTCACTTATGTCATCTTTCTTGTCTATCATTCTAGAAAACAAGTTTAATAAGAAATATTTCAAACACCAGAACACAGATCTAGAAAAACAAGGATGTGTAAGTAGTACAACTTTTTTTCTCCCCATGCCATTTGTAAATAAGAAGTACAATAAGCAATCTATGTTTCCTCCAGAAATAAGATGGTATACAGTTCCACAGTAATTTCAATTTAAAATCTGTGTGCTACAACTTTTAACCTACATATGTGGCATGTACCAATCAGACTGAAGTTTCAGTGCATAGATATCTCTAGCTGAGGCTGGTTGCTCTCTACTCAGCTGTTCTACACAGTTTACTGCAGTATTTCCACCCAGGGGGTCAGAACTAGATCTTCTTTAAGGTCCCTATCCAACCAAACCCATCCTGTGATTCAATCCTCCCAGACATTTCTTTATTCTGGATAATCTGATTTCAATGTATAAAAGAAGAAACTTCCTCAATGTTATTAAAATGACAACATTCATATATTCATTTTATCCCCAATGTTTTTCTTCATTGCTACATTCACTGCTTTAGTGCACAGTATGACATTCAACAACTGACAGCCCTATTCCACTAAACAGTCTAAACTGAAGTTTCATCCATCCCATGTGAAGCAAATGACAGAACAAGGAAAGTCTTCCTAACAAACCGCATGAAGCATTTTCATTTTGTGTGCACTCAAACTTACCTTGCAGTCACATTCTGAATTCCTTCTCTGAGATCATCCAGGGTACATGCCTTGAGTTTAACATTAATATCCATTGACCCATCTGAAAACATCTTTCCTGATGATGCCATGAGATGCAGTCGAAGTTCACCAAGGCGTAATTTGTCACTATGCAGTGAAAGCAGAGACTTCTACATAATGAGAAACAGTAGGACTAGTTATTACAGTACAAAGTAAAAACCATGCTTCCCTTGCTGCTAGCCACATGAATTTAAGGATCTGATTAAATTTGTTGGTGTCTTCAGCCCTCCATTCTTATAAATTAAAGTACCTCAGTAAGAAAACAGAAAATACAAGTTGGCCTGTAGTACCAAGACTCAAAAAGCAAGCACCTTCCCACCAGGACAAAGGATATGAAGTCATAAAAATAAGACAACATTGCATATCTTTCTCTACTCTTTTCAGCACAGGAAAGATTCTCACTACTGCTCACAGTCAGAGATATGCAGAAGAGAAGCCTGGGCCATGTATACCTTGGATCTTTTTTTTTTTTTGATAGGTGGAATGACCAAATCAAATGCTGACTGGTTTTTCTAGGTTGGTTTAGGTTGGTTTCTTGCCTTTATTCAGTGGGATTTTTAGAAATGCACTTACATCCTTCAAATTAAGGACATCTTCTTCCCATAAAACCTCAAAATTCCAGGATAAACTGCATAAGCTCCATAAAGCAGGCATTCCAAAGCCAACACAACCAACAAAACTCTGGTTTACTATCCTGAGTTCCATCCACGGAAGAAGCCAAACTTCCCCACCCCACTTATATGATAGAAGCTTTGTCACAAACCTGATTCGTATCACTGTTGTAGAGAGTTACTGAAAGTGACTCAAAATTAAAGTCAAATGTAAGTGTTGTGTAACATTCCACAGAAGACTGAACTGCAGAAACACTTTTTTCTCCAGATGCAAGAAGAGGACCTGTCAGTGAAAAGAAAACAGTTTTACATTTCATTAGAACAGCAAGTCTGAGGTGGTTTTTTGGTGGTTTTCCTTGTTTGTGAATTTTTCTTCATTTGGGCTTTGTTGTTGTTGTTGTTTTGTTTCTTTTTCAATTAAGATCAGAAAGTCACAAAAGGAGGAAAAGCCCCAAATCTGTGAGACTACTCAGAACATGCCACACTTTCATTTACTCAACATCACTTTGTTCTATTCAATGCTTGTAAAGTTACTCAACACAGAGTGGCTTAAGAACCTTGAAAGAAAACTGTCATTAATTTACTGCAGTTCTTGATTTACTTTAATGAACAAGGAGTTTGCACTGCTCTTCCAGTTTTTTCTCATACTATAGTAAAACAATTGTTGGTTGAACAGTAGTTTTTTTACAATGAGAATGTTAAGTTTTGGACACAAAAAGATCTTTACAAAGTGTTAACAGTATTTCATCAAGAGATATACAGTGCTTACATTAACACACTATTTGAATACTAATAACATCCTCAATTGTTATAACTGTGCATAAACGTAATTGGTTTGGCTTTCTTTTTCAAACCACATGCAACTTACAAGAGTCATTGCTATACTGAAGAATTATCATATTAAAAAAGATGAATCACAAAAAGCACACTACAAAAGGTACGAACATACCTTCATAGAAATCTGATTCATTTGGAACTTTCCCTTTCTTAAGTATCTGTGTATCTTCGATGTTTTCTTGCACAGTATTTGGCTGGGAGGAAGCTCCTCCAAGGTTTTCAAGTAAAATTTTCATGACAACAGTTAGATCTTCTTCACTAAGCGCAATCTGTAAAGTGATTAACCCACAATTTCATTTTTAGTGACATTATTTCTTTCCAACACAGTACACAAATGTTGAGAAGAAGCAACATGCTGCTTCCACCATACACAAGCTGTCTAGTCAAAACGATCCTGGCCAAAAAACCCTAAATGATTTGCCCATTTTTCCTAAAATACCATTTGTTACTTGTTATGAACAGGAGTTACAACAAGCACTAACACTCCACATGAGAAACACCAGTCTTGCAAAAGCTTTTTGCCTGCTAAAAAGACGAGTAATTGAGGATCATAAGCACTTCTTAACAATTAAGCAATCCAGAAACATTGCCAGATAACATTAATGTCAAGATTTACATTGTATATGCTAAAGAAACTGTCATTCAGTAGGCTTTTAAAGAGTTAATGGATCTGAATCCAATTATAACGAGTGTGAAAAAAAATAAGCAGTATCAAGTCACAAGACGCAGTCACTAAACCCATATTACAGTGTTCAAATATTTTTTCTACATTTTCACAGTGCCACATTTGGCCACAACACAGATACAGCAATGAATTAGGACTCATGAACAAGTAAAAGCCCCCCCCAGTCCACTTTTACCCACTTATTTCATATGGTTAATGTAGAGAAAAAGTAAAACCCTCCCTCTGCAAACATATCAACCCTAATTTTTACCTGTTGTATATCAAAGTTTCACACCTACCCTTCACATTTCTAATAAATCTAAACACTCAAATAACTTGAACATTACAGATTAAACAATTTAAAATTTGAAATCTGGATTTTAAATGCTGACTCAACAGATAGCCACAAGGAATTTACTGACTGTTGAGTCAAAGGATAGCTCCAACAGACCCTCAGAAAAATTACAATAGGTTTTACTCCGTTTGTATGAAATACTTGCTGCTACACCAAAAATATTCATCATACAGATCTAGAAATTAGACAGTCAAGCTGGAAGTCTTTTAACACTGTAATAATTACAAATTGCAACTAGTTCACAAGCTCCTTCACTAGGCTAAATACTATTCTGAGAAAACATGTAACTTTTGATGCACCTCTGCTTTGCCACGGCATTACCTGCATTGGCTTCAAGTCTCCTTTAATACCAATCGTTGGTGCTTCATGATACCAAGTTGCTGCTAAATTTCTCTGGACCAGTAAAGTCAAACTCACAGGACGCAGAATTTCAGAATCTGGTTGAGACTCTGTGGATATGATGCACCTACAAAAGACAGTGGAAGCAGCAGAGGAAACGTTTAGTAGCTACAGAATCCCAAATATACTGATCTAGCAGGATTATGGGTATACTTAATTTCATAATAATAATGTGCACTTACATGCACTTACGTGCAGGTATGCACTTAAGATGAACTCAATTATTGCCCTATTATTCCTTTCTTCCCATGAAACTTCAGACACTGCGGACATATGCCCCTGTCTAAAAGCACTCCTAAACTTAGCTGTGGGGTGAGCAAGATAGGTGTTTGGGTTTAATATGTTTTTATCACCCATCATCTTTAAATAATAGAACAATTCTGCACATCAAACATGAGCCTGTTTTCCATATGAACACTTTTCTACTCAGAAGAAAAGCCTGTGTATACCTTGATAATTTCAAATGAGTTAGCTGCACGTCCATGTTGTCAATGACTGGAGGAAGCAAAGATTCATCTGAAGACACCAGCTTGAATTCATTCTGAACTCTGATTAAGCCAAGATCAGCTACCAAAGCATTAGATGAAGTTGAGGATTCGGGAACAACTATAACTGGCGCTTTCAGGTTGACATCCATTAAGAGGCGGAAGCTCTTTTTAGCAAAGTCTTTCATGCTGGAAGCAGCCATTTCTGCCGCCTGGACAGTGACTGCCGTCAGGGCTTCTTGTGCCGTTTGGAAATTGTTTAGGAAGTCCTGTTGGAAGGTAGTGAAAAAAGTAAGAGTTCTATGAGAGCAAATAAGCCCTGCAAAAAAGGCAAGACCCAGGGAAAACATAAACTTAAGAGAAGCAATATAGCTCTGGCAGAAATATGAACTTCCCATTCAACCAGATGAGTTTCAAACCAGAAAAAAGTTAAAATCATGCACAAGCTAAGACACTGCTTGCTTATTTAGGTTTTAAGATATTATTAAAGCTATCAACTTTAGTTCTGTATTTGTTCTGTCATCCTTTTCCTTATTTGTCATTCTTGCATAAAGCAGTGCAACTTAAGTGACACCTCTTCAGCAAAATAATTCTTATAAGCTTGTATAGAGCTCAGGTTACAAAGAGTTGACTGCATTTTATTTTCTTAATAAACTTCTAATGTCAAGAAAAGAACTGAAACTAATGACTTACCAAGAGAGACATAAAGAATTTATGTAGGTAAATTACTTGGATGCAGCCCACTTTCAGAGACATTTTACCATCCACCCTTGACATATCACTGTAGGCTTCCCCAGCAGTAGCATCTGGATAAAGTGATATGTGAAATCTAAACACTTCATCTCCCATTATGGAGACAGCCTAGAAGATTAAGTGTGTGTAGTTAATACTAGCAGACAGTAATCTGTGATAGAATTACTACTTAGGTTTATCAAACAAGAAATATTCCTACATAAAGATTAATTGCAACTTATCAGCAATACTTGGACATACATAGGTTAGGCACAAAAGGTTTGTCTCTTTGCACTTAGTTATCTGTAGCCCATTTTATATTTAACCCATGCTACACAATTAAACACATGAATGCAAACATGATTAGAAAGAAGAATGGAAACATGTTTTGCTACCCTGAGATAAAGGAAATTACCAGTGAAACTTTGCTTAACATTTTGTACATTACATTGCACTTAATATTATACAACACCACAAACCAACTACAGAGCTGTCATTAAACAAAGAACCAGCTAATTTTGTTTAAAGTCCGCACATCACATCACCTTTTTATGGACTGTTTTTGGATCAACGTTTGTAATTACAATGTCCTCAAGTCTGGAAAACACCTTAATCTTTTTAGGTTTCATTACTACAGATGCATCCATTCCTGATTTGAGACAAAAGGAAGAAGATAATAATTTGTTGAAGTGCATTTTTAAAGTCACCAGCTTTTTAAAATAGAAGCATTATTTATTACTGACTATGAAGAACAAGAACAGCTTAGAAATCAGCATTCTACCATGTAACAACCAACGCTAACCTTACTACACATGATAAATTTGCCAGCATAAATTGACTCTAAGAGTGGAGTAAAAATTCCCAACAGTATCTAGTATCTAGCTAGTGAAAAATGGAAGCTTGTTTTATTTATTACATAGTGCCTTCATTTCTTTTGAGTTTACTCCACTTAGAAATTGTCTTCTTTTTCCATGTCAAATATTTTCTTCCCTTGTAGGATTTTTGTTTATTAAAATATTTAATTGCAATCATATCATACAATGAAAACACATTCAAACATATACTAAACACATCTATGATGCACTCATGCTAACCTTTCAGAAGTGAAAGAATGGAGGGGAACAATATAACTTTTGCTACAGCCAAATAAACTGATACCCTTACCTTGTATTCTAATGTCTGCAAGGCTACAGGTCTGATCACACACTGTAATACTGAATGCATTTAGCTTTGCAGTGAGTTTTAGTTCACAGATATCATCATGGGCTGCATTACCAGACACTGGACAGGAAACACAAGAGTCATGTAAGAACTTCAGAAGAATGTCAGATTATTTGTTTTGTACATACATCAACTATTCCAAAAGCAACCTGGAGTTATTCCTTAAAAATTACTCTATTTTTTAGTTAAGACATGAAACAATTCTTCTATTAACACAGTTTTCTTCTGGCACAACAACAGTCAACAACTAACCCAGGCAAAGAGCAATCAAGATGATGTTTTTTGCTCCTTTTTTATATCTAGTTTTCATGCAACAGTATGCAGAATACAGTGGGCATTTCATTATTACAAACACTACTTCACATGAGGAATGCTCCCTGAATTTCCCAAACAATGCTACAAACACAAGAATCAATCACACAGAACCTGAGAAAACATTCTGAAGTAGATTCCATACAAAAACCTCACACTATTTCAAGGTTACAGTACCAATCGTTAAAAGAAGCACAACAGCCTTGAGTTCAGAACTTCTCTTTTCTTCCTCTAGGCTTAAGAATGTTTATTTTCAGCTATAGAAGCACCCTTTTGAGCCTTTTTCAATTGGAAAGCAACATGGTTGTGACACTGACGCTTTGGAAAGGCTCTAGTACTGGTCATTGTAATATCATTTATTCAACTTCTTTAATAAAGTCACACCGCTACCTAGGGAAGTTATATTGAGTAAGGAGAATCTGTAAAATTAAGCAATGGAAAAAAATATCTGGTGCCTTTTTTTTTTTTTTTTTTTACAAGATTATTTTCTCACCGAAATGTACTGCAACCACCCAAACCAGTATTCTGAAACCAAAGGTGAGATGCTGTTAAGCAACAAAAGCATGGCCTTTCTAATGCCACATTACCTGGTTTAACTGTACTTCCTTTTTCTTGTTCTTTTATTTGAGGCTTGTGGTATGATACTTTATCAGTACTGGGAAGACCACCTGATGGAATACTGAACGTGAGAAAACTCATGATGGAAAGCAAAGCCTCTGTGTGGAGTACTATATCCAAACATGAAAAGATGACCTAAAATGAGGGCAAGACAGAGTGACACTGTTATTTAGTAGCAGTCTATTGCATAAAAACTCAGCTTTATTATCACAGAATTAAGCTTCTATTTCCTCCAAGTTAACACGACACAAGCTCCAGAACAGATGAGGGAGCTATGGAACAGGAGCTTAATACAACTATAGAGGAACTGTGTCAATCTGAAAATGGATGCTTTGTGTGGTTATGCTTTTTCGGTAAGCTTAGTTCTGCTGCATTTCATTGTGGACTATTGAACACTTTGGTTGACACCTCCAGAACCAACCACAGGTAGGGATATTTTAGTATGTATGACAGAATAAAACAAGACGACTCAAACTCTGCAATCAGAATAGAAATTATGTGAGTAGCAACTACTCCATCCAGTACTACTTCATGAAACCAAATATCCGCTACCTGACTTCTGGCTCAAAGCAATTCTTGGTAAATGCTGGTTTTACTGGTTACATTAAGGATGTCATTCTCTCAACTCTGAAGTTGCTCAGGCACTTCAAACTCCACATACGGCTGTTAAGAAGCGAACTTCATCCACCACTACTACTTTAAAGGAAACGGTTTAAAAGCAAAAGGACCTGAAAATGCTTGTTTGACCTGTCACTGCACATCTAAATTTCACTGTTACAAACTTTTAAACTCTGAACACAAAGCCTTCGTTCCACACAGTACCAAGTGTATCACCCTAGAAATAAAATTTATCCTACAGGTCTCAGTTAGAAATATGTGCTTATAAATTATAACTAGCTAAAAATGTAAATCTTCTAGTTTAAAAAATTAATACAACTAAATACTTCTGTAAAATAATAATAATAATCCTTTTTCCCTCCTGGATTCCTCTTTGAAGTAGTTAAATATAAAGCAGTAAGCTCTCATAATGACAGAGTTAGGAGATTGGGTTTTGGGTTGAGTTTTTGTTTGTTTCCTGGGGCTTTTTTTTCCCTTAAATGAGAAAACAAGTGAGTAACTAACTATTTCACACAACTGTTGCTATTTGAGAAGCTTAAAGCAAATTACACACATCCAGTACTCACATTGATGTTTTGCTTGGTGCTTCCGTAAGCAGTAACAAAATCTGGTCCATCAGCATCTGCCTAAGGGAAGAAATAAGAGAGCCCAAGCACACAGTCAGTCTCTATTGAATTAACTGAATTTATTAACTGAATTAATTGAATTTGCCACACACACAGGTATAAGGATTATTCCCACTGCAAAGAAAACAAAGGAAAGTGATGCATAAACAAGTTCTCTAAATATAGCACATGATCAGTGCAACCAGAACAGGGTACTAGCAAATGCTCAGTGACATTTTATAACATACATGTTGTAAAAGTTCAACTGGCCAGTTACAAGATTTTCTCTTACCTAGGATGTTTTTAAACTGGATCAATTGATACTTAGTACTCTGTCAGAACGAATTCACTTGTTTATGCTATTATAGATAGGAAAACTAATAGCCCACTGGTTCTACAACCTATCAGCTTCCCAAGTTTTTGTGCAGTTTTTGGAGGTTGCTTGCTACCTGTAGAGAGCCACCTATCACTTACATAGGCAAAGACTCTCTCAATCTGCTAAATTTCACAAAGGCTCTAATCTGTGTTGTTCACAGAGAACGCATACAAACATTTGGCTTCACCAGTGATTTCAGTAATTGTGTTGACTTATGAAGCAAGCACTATATGGAAGCAGTGGAGTGTGGACGTTAAACAACAGGCATTTGGAAGAAGACATACATAAGCTTGAGATATAAATCCTACAGGTTTTAAAACCAGCAAAAAAAAACCCAACAAACCCAAACACAGCCCAAGTATGGAAGCCTTATTTTAATTCCCATATAATCTTAGTTAAAAGGTATTGAAACCTTAATGTATTCCATCTTCAGAAGATGTTCATCTGTCTCACTTGAAGAATTAATAATGCAAAGGGGATCTCCTTTTGAGTCTGAAAATTAAGAAATAAAACCATAAATTATTTCCACTGATGAGCTTTATTTCACCTATGGAATACCGCCATGCTAATTCTCAGTAATATATTATTGTTGCTTAAACAGTTAAGGTAAGCATCTCTTTTCATTGAGAAGTTGCAGATTAAGCATTACCTTGTGAAATGCTGTACTGATTTGATTTTATTTTTAATTAAGATAGAAAAACTAACTTTCTTGGTCCTGGAAGAATATTCAAAACTGGAAAGTTATTTGCATTCCTTTAATTAGTTTTTCATTCCTGTATTTACATTTTTCTATTTCTAGAAATAGACATTATATATTATAAACTTTATATATTTTTATACGCTATACTTTTCTACTTTGAATACTGGCTATTTCTGTCATTACTTCAATATTACTTTGAATTGCTACCTGACCCATCAAGGAAGCAGGCTGGATCTCCAGTGTTGTCAGAACTGGCCATAAAGCGCAGCTTCAGAAGTTCATCAAAACCCTCCGAACAGATGGAATACTTCTCGGGAATGACCCTTCCTACTCAAAGCAGGCAACTAACTCAGATTAACTCAAGCTAACTCTAGCAACAGGAGTAAAACAGATTAACTCAATCTAAATGACACATGACATTTCATTAAGTTAAATCAGAACATAGCTTTTCGCCCTTTCCTTCTCCCCGAGTTATTATTTATGACTGTGCTACCCTCTTACTACACAAGCTGCCTGCACACACTGTACTGTAGACTGCGTTTCAGCTTTCGAGATGACTTACCATTGATTTCAATACATCTCATCATAATTTTTTTCAGATATGCTGCTGCTGTCAACTCATGATTTCTAATTTTGGTTTCAGTTCCAAGCTGCAGCACAGTCAGAATATGTAACGGATGTCTCTCTTTCTGAACCTGCTTCATCAAGGTTATTGCAACCTGGAATACGGAAAGGGAAACAAGTCTGCTATCTCAGTAAAGCTGTCCAGATATTATGGCATGCAGTTGTAACTAGGCTTCAAAAGCAGTATTAATCTAGACTAAATCTGGCTAGAATTTACTTTTGTTGTGGCAGTACATCTTTATCTTATCAAGCTATGCTTCAGTGCTACAGTGCTACACAGAAAGTTTGATTATGGAAATAAGGATTACTACAAATCATACTGGTCTGGAGGGAAGGACAGCATAAAACAGCAACATGAATCTATCTCTGAATATCTGTTACTATGAAAATAACAATTAAAGCCACAAATGTTGCAACATTACAATTCCTAATTTATAGGAGGTTTTAAGCATTACATGATCAGAACTTTGGAAATGAGAAAAAACTTGTGTTTCTAAATGTAGCTGAAAATTAAAGTAGAAGTAGCTATAGTTATTTAGGAATTATGTTCATTTCAATGCATTTATTTCATAAGGCAATCATCTTCCATTGCTGCAAACTAAGAATTGCCTCGCCTAACAGTTTACCACATGAGGAATTTAAAGAATTCAGGTTTGTCGATACTTCGTCTGCATCACCAAGTGGCATACACTTTGTATATTAACAAATTAGCATTTTAACAGTAATAACCCAACATACAGAGTACACAGACAAAGTGGACGCTGGTAAAAAATTCCATGCGAAGCCTGTGTAAAACCATATTAAAGAAGACAAAATTGTTCATAAGATAAAATGATTAAATGAGACAACACAAAGCACCACAGGTTAGCCTGTAATAATGCCTCAGTCCTACCATTAAAATAAAATTCTTCACAGCCAAAACAGCTATTCTGAAAGCTAGAAGCTCCCACATGTACTAGTGATACCCACTGGATAACTACCTGCTCTTTGTTGACTGGTACCTCACCAGCCAATTGCAACTGTAATTCTGCAAAATCAGAAAAACCCAAAACCTGGGATGCTAGCAACTTGCTACCTGTTTACACTCCAGCTATGGAACAAGTTTTTCTAATGCCCTTAAAACTAAGGCTTTTTACATGATCTCCTACCACGCACATAGAATACATTTCCCTGCTGGCCCTGCCTGCCTGGATGATTTCTTAGGCATAGGTATCTTTGTTAACCGATTGATTGCATTAGCCAGTACTTCATCTACAACCTAACCTTCAGACTTAGTATCCCTAAAGGAAAAACACTAGTTCTAGCTTATTTCAGCTGGTTTGTTAATAAGAGAATCATATACAGCTTAATAAAGGATTAAGGCTAGGAGAGTGCAAAACATCTAAAATAAGTCTGGTTTTCCCCATTAGATGTATTGCCTATGTTAAATATTCCATAAATACAATCTCACATAATACAGACAAAGAAGACAGATCAAGAAACAGCTGAAGAATCTGGGTTCTGGGTTTTTATTCTCTTCTGGTTGCTGTGTATCATCTTAAAGCAGCTAAAATGGACTTGGGTAGCCCACTGCTTATGAGAAATAGACTTAATTCACTTACTGGAATCGTAACAGTACAGTTTACAGATGGATACATACCTCTTTGATTTCAAAATTAAGTAGCATATTGACTACATCTTCATTTAATGTTCTTTTTGTCTTTTCAGGCAGCATTCCTTCTAGAACACTCTTATCCTGTGTCAAAACAGATTTCTCCACTTCTCTGGTTTTACCTGTAACATTCACTAAATTGGTTAACTTTTGAAATTGCCACCACTTGCTTAGCTCAAGAAACACATCCGATTCTTTTATTCGTTTAGATGGCTTATGTTCACTTAAAATAAGCTAGCAACATTTCCACAAGCACAGCCTTTAACTTCAGAGCAAGCAAATGAAACAGAAACATGTTCTGCAACAAGAAAGTTCTGACATCTCAATACCTTGCTAGTTCTGAGACAATTTAGCTAACGTAATTACCAACTTTTATCTTGTAATGCTTTCACTTTTTTCAAGTATTAAACACTGTCCTTGCAAAATTATGACACATTTATCCGTCACACATGATGCTCTCAGATCTAAGCTTGCTTTCCAGATAATAAACACTTCCCCTTATTCCTGAAAGCTAACATACTTAACATTCATGACAACAAAATCCCATTTCTGACCTTCCCTTTGCAGTACTGATTTTGCAGGAGTTAGTTTTTCTTCTGCTTCACCAAGGTTTTCGGTCAACACTTTGAGAAAGACATTCAAATCCTCTTGACTCAATACAACCTACAAAATTGCAGATTACAGTTCGCAAGACAAACATACTGTTCTTTAATATATCACTAACTAGCAAAGCAGAGCAATGTTTCCTGGCAAGCAGAGTGCTTATTTACAGATCTATTGTCAGCTGCTTCCTCCCTTAAATAACACAATGAAATTCATTTAACCCTTTATTGTTGAAGGATTAGGACATTAAAGAGGTTCTAAAGTTGCATCAATATATATCACAGCCTTTATTTAGTGTTTCTGTGCTTTTAGTATTTTTGTATAAATGACATGTTACTTCATGTTAATTAAATTCCAGTTTCACTCAAAATGTATCTGGTATTTTCTTTCATAGTATATAAATTGCCAGGAAAAAAAACTATCTGGAGGTCATTCAAGGGAGACAGGAAGTAACGACGCTGGAGTCACTAAGGCAAATATTTGCATTAATTTCAACTCCTCTCAAGAAGATTCCATTTAAAACGAAAAAAAATGAAAAAGAGATTTGCTCAGAGAACTGGACACAAAAACATTTGATTTAAGTTGGTCCTGCCTCCTGGCAGGGGATAACACAGACTCCTTGACACCCCTTTCAGTTTTCTTATTAGAGTTTTTCCTTTTCTTTCTCTCAGTTCCACAAATGCACACAGAAGTCTGAGTAGTTTATATAACACTTTCAAACCTCCACATTCACACAGGTAGGTTAAACCTTATCAACATCCCTAAAATGCAACTTAAACCTTATTAACATCCCTAAAATGCAACTTTTGCATCTTTGTGTCCAGAAATAACATAAAGCTTAGCCTTGTGTTAAGAATTATCATGAGCTTCTCACCACCTTTTTTTCACAAGACTTACATTCATTGTATCCAGATACCCCGTGACCTCCAATACTGGTAATTCATGAAACCAAGCTGCAGATAGATTTCGTTTCACAGACAGGCTTAAATTAATAGGGTGAAGTATCTCAATGTCTGGATGCAATAAACCTGTCTCCATAGTAGTCCTTAAAACAAAGTGGGGGGAACAAAAACAAAACACATGGTGGACAAATTAGAAGTTGAGTCATATGCTACATTTTCAAAGCAACATCTTAAAATCTCAAATGCAGTATCTCTATAGGCTTCCACGGCTTACTAAGCAGAACAGTATCTTATTCTACTACTGATATATTTGCCTGAAGATAATAGGTTAGCATTTAAATTTGCCAATTTTTTGATACTGCCACCAACCATGGTTTCTAAGCAAGCAGATTAATATCCTACAGAGTATTAATATTACCAGTTAGCTACTGTGTTACTTAGTAAAGTGCACTTTACCTAGACAGCTTCAGCTGTGTCAGCTGCACATCCATTTTGTCAATGACTGGAGGGAGTGAACTGCCTGCTGGAGACACCAAGCTAAACTGATTCTGAACTTTAATCAAGCCAAGATCTACTACTATAGCATTGGGGGAAACTGAGGACTGAGGAATGACAATAACTGGTGCTTTCAAGTGAATGTCCATTGCAAGTCGAAAACTCCTTTGAGCCAAGTCTTTTACACTTGTAGCAGCCTTCTCTGCAGCTTGGACTGTAGCAGCACTCAGTGCCTCCTTAGCTGTCTGAAAGTTGTTCAAGAAGGTCTAGAATAAGAAAGGAAAGGAAATAAGAAAAGAAAGGAAAAATATCTGTAAGTGTTTTTTTAACCTAGATTACTTTCATTTTACATGATCAACATAACCAATATCAACAGCCAATTACACTGCCTAGTGTGTTAAATTCCATCCCGGGTAAAGACAACCTAGTGCCTTCTGTCATGACCTCCAACAGAGGGTCAAAAACATACTAACCAATACAATCACTAATTTTAAACCCATCCCTACATATTACTTTTAGATCCCCTCTTTGTCCCCAGTGAATACTAATTCCTTTCAAAGCCAGTACTGAATGACAGAAAGCTCACTAGTGCTGTAAAAAGCTAACATTAGGATATTAGAGGAAGGTACAAAACAAATGTTTACAGTGATTAGCTTGTAGTCCTCACGGCATCTAACCTTGCAGACAGTTTTGTCTCTAATGTTAGTTCAGATATGTCTGCAATCAACTCAGACTTTTGCCAAGGCAGAAAGGGTAGCAAACACAAAACCTCCAAATTACTTTAGTAGCACCAAGCTTTTCTCTGTTTCCAAAGCAGAATGTGGCAAGTGGCCTACCTGCACTGTGTTAGTTTTTGAATTTCAAACCAGTTAGAGCTTCAAGTTTTTTCACAGTACACACAAAAATCAAGCCCATCCTTTTCTTTCAGAAACTTCAGTTATCACTTGCACTGAGACAAACAAGGAAGACTAAAGTCTTGGGTCTGCACCAGCTACTAAGGAGAAAAATGACTGCTACTGCTGAACCCAGGACAACTAATTTGAGCAAGAACATACAAAGGAAGAAAAAAAAACTTACCAAAAGAGACATGAGAAATTTGTGAAGGAACACTATCTGAATACAGCCCACTTTCAAAGATACGGTACCATCCACTTTTGACATGTCAGTGTAAGCTTCTCCCTCTGTGGCATATGGATCTAATGTCAGATTGAAACTGAAAACTTCATCTCCTACTATCGACACAGCCTAGAAAGAGATAAACAGTACCTAGTAGCCATCAGCAGCTTCTAAAATGGGACTCAAGAGCTAAACATATCATCAGCCTAACAGATGCATACTAGCTTCATTTTTTTTTAATCTTTTGGGGCACCCATTCTTGTAATATGAAAACCTATGCTTTACCATCTATCTGATTTGAAAAGAGGTATTCATAACAAATCAATGTTTCAGAAAGAGTGGAATAAGAATATGCATTACATTTCACTTTTATACACACAAAACTAACCAAGAATCAAGTAAAACTTAATATCTTGTAGTTGAGTACTTTTTTATGAAGAGTCCTTGAATCAACATCTGTAACAATTATGTCCTTTAGTCGGGCAAAGAATACAGTGTGACTTGACTGAAGGAGAAGAGACGAATCAAGACCTGTAAAGGATCAAGAGAGAAACGGTAGTATCCCATAACAGAAGTAATCCTCATTTTCACACCACACCAGTAGTGGAAGTGAAAAAACTTACAGAAATTAGACATTGCAATAAACTAATAAACTTTTTTTAATAGTTTGCTAAATTCAACAATTTTTTTTTTAAAACCCACAACAAATACCTAAACACACTTGATTCTTTTGTCAGTTATGAAATTAATTAAGCCAGTTACCACATGCCTTGCTGAAGGGACTGTAAATAAAAGAGCTCTATCTGATCCAAGGCACTTTAGTTTTTCTGTATTCAGGTCAGAATAATTAGAGGTAATTCTCCAACTATCAAAATAAAGTATTCTAAGTTAAATTCTGGAAATAAAGACTTTCTGCATTTTATCACTCAGACACAGAAGACAAGTATATTGTCTAGAGTTCAAACCCAAGTGCGTCCACTATGGTGTCATTAAGCTTTGAAAATGCAGCCACACCATAGCTGGCAACAAAACAAAATAGAAATATTTCAAGTACAGATACTGGCTCAGTATCAATCATGTCTGGACAGAAATGAGCTGCTATTCACAGAAAAAAATTCAAACAATAGTTCATCTCTTAATAACCAAGCTACTGAGTTAATTACAGAGATTAGTTTGTTTAATAAGAAAAGATGTTACTGTAATGTATTTGAATACAACCCTTCTCCATACAAAATCTGGTGTGAATACATCAAATGAATTAGAGATGGGCACAAGCAGAAAACTTTTAATGAACTGGATTATATATTCTTGTATATCACACATTCTTTAATATTTATATCCCGTTGAGGGGTAAAATAAAAGAAACAAAACCAGAACAAGAAACCCAAACAAGCCCTAGGAGTACAGAACCAAAGTAAGCAGTTTTAATGGGTTTCTTACTCTAAATAATTCAGGCATAGTAGAAAAATACCCAAAGCTCAATACAACATGAAAAGTCACTCATAATCCAACTCCTTCAAAACATGAAGGAGATTACCTGAAGGATAATTTATCATGCTTTTCTAGCTGGAGGCCAAACCATTATGACACACATTTTGAAAACAATACCATAAGCCATGTTTGTACAACAACTAAATGTTAAATATACAGTTATATACTGAAAATTTATACCTTAAATATTTTCAGTCTAATTATTATCAGTTGCTTTGAAACTGAACTACCAAATCAGTTATTACTAACTAAGAATTCAATACCTTGTATCTTGATTTCTGCAATGTTCTTTTTTTCATCACAAATATTTAAATAGAATGCATCTAGCTTGGCAAAAAGCTTGAAATCGAAGACATCTTTATCCTTGGAAGGTCTAGCCACTGGAAATGAGAGAGGGGGGATTTTCAGTGTACATAGAATGAATATTTTTCACTTAAAATTTAAATACCTAAGGGTATGTGAGGGATGTTTTGGTTTAGGGTTGGGGGGGGGGGTCATCCAGATGACTTAATTTTGTGTCCTATAGTTTCTTTCATCACCATTACCATGACTAACTCTGTAAGATCCCATCTTAGAACAACAACTCTCCCTCTGAAGGCAACTCTATTCATAAAAGTACAATATGTCAGCACTTGCTTGTAATTCTATGTCTGGTATGACTCCCATTCTAGCTCTCTACTGAAAAAATTCTACTCTTTTTAAATTCAGGGTAATTGCTGGGTTAAGAGGAATTAAATAGCACAGTATAATTATTTTAAACATTAGATTAATAACTCAATAGTTTCACAGTAGTGGGGTTTTCTTTAGGTTATCTATATCTACCCAGTAGCCAGCTATACTCCAGCCTGGTAAGCCACATTAACATGAGCTTTGATCTTCAACCTACACTACAAAGCTAATCAGGTTTCTCTAGATTTGATCATTTTGACAGCATACAACAGATATATATCCTTTCAGAACCACCATTTTGACAAACATAACTACCTTTCTTCAATATTGTGTCATCTTCTTGCTTTTTGTCTTTAGTTGGTGTGTCTCCAGTGCTTCCACTGCCTGATGGACTAACAGCTGTTAGAAAACTGACAGCAGACATAAGGGCTTCTGTATGCAGTAGAAGGTTCAATGATGAAAAAGCTACCTGTTGAAAACATGAGACAAAAAAATATAACGTAAAAGAGTTCAAGTTAGTCAATAGAGTGCTGATTATGTGGAACTCACAATACAAACAGATCCAACAGTATAGGGAAAGACTTCTGGACCCGTTAATTTTCTTATACTCAGCACTTGAACTTCATCTCATATGCATGAGAAGATGCATTCCTACATTAGTTTGAATTTTAACTACATGAACTAGCTAAACAGCTCTTATAGTTAAGAAACCAACTAACATACTGCTTTAATATTAAGTTGTATAAAAACCCTCAAGGATTTTTTAATTCTTTAAATATCCCTGCTGCAAAGCCGGGGGAACACGAAAGCCAAAAAAAACCATTCTTGATCCCTCCTTTGCAAGCAAGCAAACAGAAAGAAAACAGGCAGTAAAATCTGAAGGCACTCACTCGAATCATCTGTTCAGTGTTGTCAAAAGTAGTCTGAAAGTGTGGCCCATTTCTGTCAGCCTGTGAAAATAATAATTTGCATGAAGGTTAGCATTAATTCCAACCAGTCACTGTGCTCTTCAGAAGATTCAAAACAAACCACTAGCTCTGAATTGTAGGTTTAACACTTGATAATACATGCGAGTGCTTTACAAATAAATGTAAGAAGCTGTAAGTATACCTTGATATATTCAACCTTCAGGAGGTCTAAGCCAGCTTTATCTGAGGAGCTAATTAGATGAATGGGTGCTTTTTTACCTGTAACATACCACACAAAATACACAAGAATTAGGGTAATTCCTGCTCTTTCAGAGAACCAAAGAATTTGTGCCTTAAATATTGGGATTAATTTTCAATATCATTTCTTAAAATGCACTGCACCAACACATAAGAACACCTGTTTCTCTTTGTTAAGTCCAAAATGGCAAGTCTGTACCCCTTCTCCATCTAAAGACTGAGCAATTTGGATGAAGTGCTATTTATTTAAAATTAAGCTACTTATTTATCTAATAAGTATCATGGCAGGATTCCAGAGCTCATCATGAGCTGTGTATCAATGGGACAAGCGCTGCCAATGGACAGTACTGTCACTGGAAAACTAGAACCACATTTAGATTTCAGTGAGCACAAGAGACAGAAGAGCCAGTTTCAGACTGATACACACACACACACACACACGTACACTTCTCTCCCATTGCTTAGTACCTCCAATTTCATAGTAATCCAAGCTTATTTTCTTTAAATATGATACAGCTGCTAAATTATAGGTTCTGACAGTAGCTTCTGTCCCAAGGTGCATTACATCAAATACAAGTACTGTTTCCTCAGTTTTCTTCTGCCTAGTGAGTTCTACTAAAACCTGATGAGCAAGAAACACAGAGTTAATACCATCTTTTCACATGTAGTTCAACAATAAAAAAAGGAAAAAAATATTGCCTTGCCTGCTTTACTGGAAGCTCTTATTTTTATTGCAGAGTTAAAGGGTAAAAATAGGAAAAAGTGATTGATGGTGAAAGACAGAAACAACGTAGAAATATCTGGGGATTTGCTCTTTGCAAGTGGTCTGCCTGGGTATCTACTTTGTTCTTCCAGTGCAAATTTCCCAGCACCCACCCCCAAATTATGACTCGGTACTATTGTTTTCTACCAAGAATTCTCCAGTAAAGGGGTTTGGGGCCTTTTTTTATACATACACCCAGATGAACTAGATATATGTTTATTTATATACGTGCCGTATATAAAAAATAAGTCGTATGCATACCACATACAAATAACCCACAGAAGTACATCTGTACAAACATGTGGGGTTTTTTCCTGTAGTGGCTACGTTTTTGCATTCACTACATCTGAAGAACACTGGCAACAGAATGCTGGGTTGGGGATTTTTTTAAGTATTCTTATGGAGAAGGTAAAAATAGAATTCAAGACACATACCTCTTTAATTTCAAACTTCAGCTGAAGATCTATCAGTTCCTCTTTAGCAGTCTCCTCATTTTTTATCTCTTCTCCTTTACTTAGTGACTTGTCAGTTGGTTCAGAACTTTCCTCAAAATCAAAATATTCTTCTTCAGAGTCTATAGAAAAGAAGTGATTTCATCCTTAGTAAACTTTATGTCCATAAACAGGGGTAAATATCCCACCTCTCTTTCCCATTCTAAGGGGATTTTAAACTGTATGAGCGTCGTAAACCTAATACAGGTAGATCTATACCACTTTCTTACCCACTGGATGAAAAGTGAAGAAAATTAAAGGCCTATTAAGAAAAGGAAGGAGTATAGCTGTATCATTAGACATGCAAGAACACAGATACGGAAAACCAATTATAAAGCCAGAGGAAACAGGTTTCCCCAGACTCCACTATAGGAAAGTTCTTCCCTCGAACAGGCACAGAAGTAAATGCTCAGATCCATAGCGTCAACACATTTTCAGAAAAAAAGAAAGACTTGCTATTGCAAAACACTCAGGACAGGACACATAATATTTGTAACAGACTATTTTTGCCACATCTTAGCTGCTTAATGCAAGTGCACACATCCCTTTAGACATGTTATTCACCTTTTTTATGTGCCCAACCCAAACTATGTGCCCTGGAGTGGCAGCAGCAGATTAGTATTTGATTAAGTTCATCTTTGGATTTAAATCAATTTTGAAAAAACAGGTTTCTCAATACGCTCCGCTAAAAAGATGCCTCATGATAACTGAATAATTAAATTGGTTTGCTAATGACATCCTAATACAGTTATTAATAGCTCACATTTGCAGAGGTTGCTTATGCATAATACTAATTAATCCCCAAAAGGGGTTGGTTCTTTTGCTTTTTAAAAAGCAACTTCATCATTCTGAGGTAGCATCAGCATCTTAATCGAATCTTCTTACGCACTTGAAATGAGAGATGATGAATCATGCTCATCTCTCCTGTCCTTATAATATGCTCTAAGATCAATAGCTGCCTGAGAATGTTAGCTACTCCATAAGTTATGGCCTTCTACAAAGACATAGCGGTAGCTTCTTACCTGACACCATTTCTGCTAACAACTGGGGTGTATGAAGTAAGCCTTTACCAACAGAAATTGTGGGAATAGCCGGTACCTAGAGAGAGAGGAAAAAAGAAGAAGAAAAAAAAATCACTATTTTACACTCTGAATAACTTGGTATGCGCAGTCATATTTTTTGCTGCTGATGTATCTTTAATCTTGCCTCCTCATATTACATAGAAAGGTCAGTTTTGCCAATATTTTCATTGAAACCAGCATGACAACGACAAAGGCTAAGCTACACTTGTCTGAATAAGCCCAGCACCTACAGATTGTAAGTCATAATGAAGACACTTCGCCTAATTCAGCTGGGCAACAGATCTCTTACTTCAAGTGAAGAAGACCACAGCCATTAGCAGGAATTCACATTTACAATGACCACTTTAGTGATGTCATTTTTGTATTTCAGTTTTCTTAATTACAGCCAGCTTACTTTTGTGCTTGGAATTGACACAGATGATTTCTGAGGCAATGGAATGCTATCAATCAGATCAAAAACTGCCTTGATTTTCTGGTCAGAGAGTCTGACATGCACCAAAGGAAGTCCTCCTGATACTTTAAACCTATAGAAACAAAATAAAAACAAAAAAAAAAACAAAAAAAAAACAAACAACTGATTCAACACCAAGACAAATACGAATTCTTGATGCAAATCTTAACAATATCTATACTCATCATATAGAATCCTAGAATGGTTTGGGTTGGAAGGTACCTTAAAGTCCATCCAGTTCCAACCCCCTGCCATGGGCAGAAACATCTTCCACTAGACCAGGTTGCTCAGAGCCCCATCCAACCCATCCTTGAACACTACCAGGGATGCGGCAGCTACAGCTTCTCTGGGCACCCTGTGCCAGGGGCTCACCACTCTGACCGGGAAGAAATTCTTCCATAGATCTCATCTAAATCTCTCTTCTGTCAGGTTAAAGCCATTCCCCCTTGCCCTGTCCCTACAAGCCTTTGTAAAAAGCCCCTCTCCAGTACACAGTAATTAAAAAGAAAACCTTTCAACATTAACATATTACCTTGCCATCCTGGTATCTCTTTCCACCATTGATTTTGCCAACTGTACATGGATATCCATAGGCTGTAATATGTGCAAAGTTGATGGATGTTGAAAACGAGCCTTCTTCCAGTCTTCACCTGCAAATGTTCAGTAAATTTAGACAAATAAAACAGTGCTTTGTAATTGCTGTAATTAAGGTGTAATTAATGTAATCAAATGGCATCACTAAGAAAGGATAAAGAACCCACTCACCAACTAGAGAAACCTAGAACAATTGGGGTAAAGTATTATAACACCTTCTGAATCCCACTTTCAGTAGTTCTCAATGCTAGATTGCCTTCGAACCCTTAAGGCCAATTCTACACTAAAAGACGTATTTTAACATAGAACCCTAAAAAAAAGTTGATATACATATATCTAAATACAAATCAGTAACCTAGCATTTTGTTGAGTGCACAAATTGAAGTCCAAATGAAGTGTTAAGGACAATTTTAGCTGTATTGTGCTTAGGACTGAAAATATAGCAGCCCAATCCATTTATGCTGCTTGCTGGTGTCAAAGTAAAGAAGTGATATTCAAGTCCAAGCAAAATGCAAGCTGCTGTCTGAAGATAAATCAATGATCTTTCACAGCTGAACGCCAGGCATGTGTATTACAATCTATCTTTTAGTTAAGTACTAGCTCTGGTTTGCCCTTTTCTTTAAAAAACATACTTATTACAAGCAGCTTGGCTTACCCCACCTCTTCACTAAACAGCAACGTTATTTGTTACCTGTTCTTCCAAAAAGAAGTTGCACATTTTTGATTTCCACATCAAACTTGTCATAAGCTTTGTCCATAATCTCCTCTAAAGATGAAAAGGTAGAAGCTTGGCTACTGCCTTGATTTATGCTGTTTAGCTAAACACACAAAAGACAAGGTAATGTTAAGTCTAAAAATATGCTATTAATTCTAGTGAAGATGAAAAGGGTGATTCATAGGAGTTCATGACAGATACTTGGAGAAGCAATATCTTGGTTCATCTCACACTTCACTTATCAAGAATAAGATTCTTTTTTGTTACTTTATCAATCAACTTAATTCAAGTTACGCAAAAGTACTTTTTTCTGTTCACAAGCTTACTGCTGGAGTACAACTAAAAGAAATATTTAATCAGTCACCTAAAATCAAGCTAAATTATTGACATTTTTCAACTTTCAAACTCCAAGGGAAAAAATCTGTTCTCTTTTCTTTATATAAGGCTTGCATTTTACAATAAAGAAAACAAATGCTCATGTGTTTAGCTGAATAATTAGAAGATATTCAATGATAAGCTATTACAATCATGATTATGAAATGAAAATGTTTCCTGAGGAGATTTACTAGTACAAGTATGTCAAAGACAAGCATTTGATCAATACTCTGAACACTGATCGAATTGCTGACCCAAATTTATTTGGTAAGAAATATATAGTAAGTTAAAACCACATTCACACAGTTTATCATCTTTGCCTTCTGAGAACAAGATAGCTTCAGGTGACAGCTATGTTAAGAGAAAATACTATATACTTCCTGTAAACTTTGAAGAGATGTCATTTAGATACCTGAAATGTACCAAAGTCCAAAATCAGCAAATCTGATTTTTCATAGTAGAAACCCGTCTGTGGAACCACAAGGTAGGAAGGTTTCAGATTAATCTTCAATTCAAGGACTTTCCGCATTTCAATAATATGAACTAATCCTTAAATAAAAAGGAAAGCACATTAAAATTGAAATGCTCTTCTCAAGTGAAGCATTTGTGTCAGTCAACATATAAAGGGATGCTATCTATCTGAAAGATAACACATCTTGAGAAGACTTATTCCTGTAAGTCTACTGATTTCTCACTAAACTCAAGAACATCCACTAACACTCTAATTGAAACATTTTAAGACATTCAAGCATTCACCTCAGGTGAGGTTTGTTATTATCTTACCTGTAGCAGTTCTCTCCTTTATTTCTTCCAGTTTCATTAATGTGGCTGATGTTAATCTTTCAAGATCCATTCCCTTACTTGTCTGAAAGAATTCTACCATTGCATTTATTGTTTTCTTTCAACAAAAAGAGGGAAAAAAATAAAGAGAAGAATTATCAATATACACAGATGTCACATGGTCAACGTTCAAAACCAGATTGTAACAGAGTAAGAATAACAGCAGAGAAATGAAAATGATTAAAAGAGGTAAGAGTCTTGGTTACTACTCACTGCATCATATTTTATTTCCACAGCTTGTGATTCAATAGTAAGCCTCTGGTCAGCAGTACTATCTTCAGGGTTAACATCAAACTCTATCTTAAGCAAAGAAGACTTGCTATCCCCTATGGAAGCCACAAGAGATGGTACAATGTTTTCTTGTCTCAGGCCTGTAACATACCAGTTTTCCAGCTTTGCTTCAACCCTACAGAAGATGAATAGTTAAATATACTTTATGAGAATACAGAACAGTTCCATCTAGGAAAGACGAGCAAGATGAGAAAACCTTTGATAAAGCCAAACATGAGCAGCTTCACAGGACTAATCACACAGTTCAGAAATTGGATAAATAAACAGAAGGCAAGAATATTTCAAGAGTCAGCAGCTGAGCTTTTTATGCAAAAAGCCAGAAGATGAAGGAACTGTAAATAAAAGCAGGAAAACTGCACAAGCTCATTTTCCAGACACTGAAAAATCTTGATCATTGACTGAATAATCCAGTAATTTGTGTTCAATATTTCTGGTGTGCCTGCTCTCAGAAAACAGGAAGACTCCTACATGCTGGTTTATCTCCTACTCACAACACAAAGACATAGCTTTTCACTTCAGCAGGAAGTAAGCAACGCATTCAGTAGCTTGGCTGGAGTTCATTAGCCAGACCATTTCACACTGCATAGGTATCAGTTCCCAAAAGTAATATGCAGCACTTCAACATCAGGATTCAAGAAACAGCTTATTATTGTTTATGAAGTCTAACAAGTAGTATTCCTTTCTTCATTCCATTCTATGTTACTCACCAAATTATGTGACTGTAACTTTTCAGAGTGCAATTGCTAAATAGCCATAAATTTAAAAAAATCAATACAGAACAAAAAGCACTACCCAAGAAAAGATTTTAGAAGTCAGGAGTGGAGGAAGGAGATGTTTCTGCAAGAAAGAAAATTTCAATCCAATTACTTAATGGCTTGTGCTCCTGGGCGCTGTGATATTTTGGTACTCAGATCAATTATCTGGACTTTCAGAGTTTCTGCCACATTCTTGTCTTCTTTAATTGTAAGAGAAGTGCTTAGCAGCTTCAGTGTCACAACATGGGCAACATACTAGTGAGGACAGAGAAAACTGACATTAGACATCCTGATATGAACAACTTGCTGAACTTCTAATTTCAACAAATCTAACAAAATGTAGTATTTAAAGCTATTCCAGTTGACAATGCTAAGAAACGGATCTTTATGTAGGAAACGAAGTATAGAGTCTTTACTTTCTTTCAAACCTTACCAATCATTTCTTTAACATAAAACAGAGTATTTCAACAAATGCAGATCAGATCTAGTCTGTATCTCTTCAGGATTCAGGGAAATTTCTTTTCTAAACCACCAAAGCAAGCACAGCTAAACTACACTCAGTGAAGAGTTTGCAAGATCAACAAAGTCATCATAATCCCATCAAATAACTACACTTGAGAAGACACTGCATATACGTCTTTGCTGTTCTTGCTCCTGAATATCGTATCTTGACCTCTTCAAGAAAGGATTTTGGCTTCCTGACACATGTAGCATTTTGTAACTGCCAATTAGTACCTTCCTATCTGCCTTTGAAGCCTGCATCTTTCTTCAGGGTACTCAGAGAGATGAAGGCACTTTTACACTTAATTTACCCAAATTAAAAACTGAAGTTTTTCCTACACAGGAATGCAAGGCAAGTGTGAAATAGAATTTAAAAAGAAAGGCATCAGTACTGAGCACTGTTCAGGGTGTCTCTCTTCTTTGCTAGCAAGAGATGCTGCTGCTGCTCTGCTCTTTTCTAAGTGACAGGAATATATGATAGCACATAGGCCTCCTTGTTGCCACACAAACAATTCTGAACTTCCCTGTTTAAGGCACACGTAAGCCCTCAACAATTAAATTTCACAAAAATATGTAAGACTGGAAAGTTGGAGGGTTGGGCTGGGGGGTAGGGAGGCCTGTGGGGAGAAAACACCCTCCTTGAAGGAAATAGTCTTAATGTATAAAGCGCTTCTGTAAGTGGTGACCAACTTGAAGCAGAACCACCAGTTGTGTTAAGATTTAAGATGTGTAATAGTGCCCACAGAAAATAAGTCTACTGAGAGAAACCTTACCATTTCACATTTTCTTAGTCGTCCTATAAGCCCTCTTAAGAACACTATACTTGTAAAGCTTTATCTTTTATCCCTTTGCTTAACAAGCCAAAAAACTATATGTCTCAAATATGCTTTTTTCATTCTATGCTTTCCTTTGTGTAGTAGAAAAAAGTACTATTGAAATCTCCTCATACTTCTCATTAGGAAAAAAATTTAGAGAGAAGCATAACATGATCCTTCTAAAAAAAAGCAACCCTTAAAGTACAAACATTGGGTCAAATACAAGCTAATCACATGCTGGTGTTCACCTTCATATGAGCAGTGACTATTCAATTATCAAAATCAAAATACAGACTAATTTAGTTTTCACCACAACATGTAGCAAGAAAAAGATACAATGAAAAAGATAATATGGAACCTTTATTTCACTTACAGATATCTTTTCTTATTTCCTTCCAAGTTGCAAAAAGATATCTCATTCAGTTTGTTACTTCTAAAGCACTCTAGATCAGGGTTGTGCACCAGGCAGAACACCACAAAGAAAATGTTTGCTATTCTTTGTGTTTTCTGAATAACTGTTTTTTATCTTCTTTGTGCATTCACCAGATGTGACTTGCACTGACACACATTCTACTGCTTATCTTAAGGCTAACATGCAGTAGAAGGTGTTTATGTTTTCATTTTTTTAGTTTGGAAGCATATGAAGCATGGGGTTAGTTTTTTAGTTTGGGGGGGGGGGGGGGGGGCAGTGGGGAGGGGTGTTAAACCATTCCTATAAGAAGTTGCTTACCTGCTTTGGTAAGGAAAGGTGATAGGAGCTGTCACTATATCCAATGGCAGTGAAAAGCTTTGCTTTCTCTTCTGGTGTCATTAGTTCATCAATAGCTAAAACAAAGGAAAAAAGACCCAAAAATTTGCCCTTTAATGCATAATGATACGGATTTTTCTTTCCATTTGTTTTCTACTGCTGACACATTTCTTTGATTCTTCACATTGCACTAAGATCCATGTTGTGAAAGAATTTACACAGAAGTCTTTGTATATGGCATTACATACATAGCACAGACATCAACATAATTTAGATTACAAGAGGTACCCATAACTCCTAGTGATGAAAATAGCTTTGAGGAGTACTATTAGAACAAATCTCTTGTCCAGACAGCAAATCAGCAGAATACAGTATTCCAGCCATTGCCTGTGACACTACAGCCATACTCTTCTCCTTACCGAGGTTCTGAAAAGCGAATGGCTGTTTCAGAAGTATGTCTTATTTGCCAGCTCAATATTCATTAACAGTAAGTAAAACTATAAAATGGATCAATATTGCATTGCCATACTCTCTCCTTCTGCACAGTAGGAACCAAGACATACTATAACTTTCTTCTTTCTATATATATATGTATATATAAAAACTTCATATCTCTATAGAATGCATTATAGTCTACACCTACTTTCAGGAACAGGTGATTCTTCATCTTCCTTTTTCCTAGATTCTTTTTTACTCCAGAAACCACTAAACCATCCTCCACCTTTTTTTTCTGCTTCAGTGGTTTTCTTCTTCAGCAGTTTTTGTCCTGATCTTATTGTCTACAAACCAGATATTAGGTTAGATAATTAAGTACTCTATATTTTGTTTTGCTTTAAATAATGCATGTATTCACACACATTGAACAGCCATTTAACTGATGGACAGCATCATCACCCTGTAAGAGATGAAGATCAGGGATGGAGGCATGTGCATGCATACATGTGTGGAAACAAACGTGTTACTTTAACTTTGGATGGCCTTTTTTCCTACAAATTTCACTGGCACTTAGACTACAAAAAAAGGCAGTAACCACATGAAAAGACAGCATTTAAGAAGCAATTAAGTAAAATCTTGTAGTAACAAACCTGAAGACTGATCCTGTACCACTGCATGTGTTTAGAACTTCTAATTAGTAGGCAGGCATTTGCTTTGCATTTTAAAAATCAAGGTATGACCAAAAACATCATAAAAATAAAAATCATTATTATTTTTTCATTTCACATACCTTCCAGATGTGTAGACAAATACAGAGGCTACACTGGTGTGAACGGTAATTATATGATGCGACTACAGAGGTTAATTTTCATGTTAGGAAAATAGCTACCAGTAGCATGCTTCTCACAAGCTGGCTATTTTGAGCTTGCCTTCAGTATGCTACATGGTTTTAACCTCAACTGCAGATAGAACACTTTTCATGATGTTATAACATGCAACCCCCTGTTAAGTGCCACAAATTATTTCCAAAATAGAATGCAGCTAGAGATTTGATCTGCCCTTTAAGAGTTCTCACAGAGTTGTCTTTTAATTAGATTGGCTGCCCCCTGGAAAGGGTATCTGAAGGTGTAGGTAGTATGGGAACAGCTCTAAACGCTTGATCTTGAACAGCTGTAGAACCAGTACTGAAATAACAGAAGTTAAAGAAAGAAGATAATCCTTAAATCATCACTCTTCGACAATTACCTGACACTACAAAGTACGTAGCAGTAACACTGTGCACACGCGCTGGTAGGTTTTTAGAACTGGTTTTCAGTTTGACATATTATTTCTACTCCTGAAAGGACAGGAAACTTGCCTTCCCCCCTCTCCATCTTATCATACTCATCAGCACAAATTTTTTCATGACAAAACCATCCTATTTGAAGTGTTATAGTATTATTAACCAAAAATTATTTCTTACCTCAACTTGTGCTTGTTGTCTTCCTAAGATTATATTGAAAACATCAAGCTTCCTTTCTAAGTCCTGTAAAAATGATGAAATCATTTGCCTCAAACACATTTAAGAAAGGCTCACCATTACAAATTCTCTAGTAGCTCCTTTGTATTTACACTCGTTTCTTTCTAGACCTGCTCCTTTCTTTCAAGAGTATAGTCCCCTCCCAGCAGTTCACTAGAAGATGAAACCTGATGTTAGGCAGTCTAATCTACCTTTTTTTAAAACAGTTTAATCGTGCACTTCATTAAATGTGTTTGTATTCATTAATCCACAAAGAGCATTTAAATGATATTTTATCAGTGTTTTCATTCTTTCCACAATAAGCTACACTCAGCTTCAGATTAAAATGGTAATTGCTCAGAATTCTTGCTGTTGTAAAACCACCAACCTTGATTACTGTCGTGCATATTTAAATAATTATTTTATAGAGGGACCACAACATATTTCTTCAAATGGCCTGGTTTCAGCAGTAACAGTTAGTTTTCTCCTAGTAGCTGCTGAAGTGACACCAATGGGAAAAAAAACACATACCTGAATTTGCCTCTGTGTTTCTTCTGACAGTTTACTCTGTGTCAGCTTGTTCTTGTACATATTTTTGTAACTCTTCAGAAGCTGCCTATGCTGTTTTATGTTACTCCATGACCACATTCTAGTATGTCTTCTGATGTGAACTTCAAGAACACTGTTGCCTGCGTATTTCCACCTACAACAATTCCACACTTGTAAGTAACTTACCATTTCACTGTGCATTACAACTTGAAACACGGCAGACAGCTTTTTAATATGCCAACACTTTATCACTTGTCATTTGAGGAAGACAAATGGTTTAATGATTTCAGCATCACTTTTGAACAGCGGACTGAGTGCCTATACTGAACTCATGAAGCACTATAAATCTGCATTCTCTTTTGACTTCTGCATGTTTACAAATTTGGCTGTAACAACATTAAGAACACTCAGGGACTTCAATAACCAGCATCAGTTAAGACTTAGGGGAAAAAAAAAATCCATGACAATGTCTATCAGCCCCAAACTTTAAAAATTACAGTTGACATACATATTCCAAGTCAGATTTTCATCACTTGGTTCTTTAACATGTTTTCTTCCACAAGTCTTTTGTGGAAGAGAACATTTTTGGCTAAGCAAAGCTCTGTGAAAGTTATAATGCTATACAGAATCTCATCTTAAAACTACATTTAACCACAAAGGAGAATGAAGAGACTGCAGAGGACTCCATCATCTCTCAAAGAATGCATGAACATACACAGCTTACCATTCTCTGGCATTTTTATGTAGACATACATTCGGTCTAAATCTTCTGTAGGGTGCATTGCGAACCATGTAATCTATGGACTCCAGAAGGTCTATCATGCTGAGATACTGAGCACAGAAAAACAAGTTTCTTAGCAGAGGTTCGGATTTTGTTGTATGCAGTGCTTAAAGCACATGTATATCATGGTCTTCAGTAGCCCCCAAGCTACACAGAAATTCAAGCCTATGCATTTTCATTGGTATGCAAAGGTGGACCAGTTATACTCATTGCTCTCAAAGGACACCACTGCCAGAACTTCTGGCTTCCCTGAATAACAAAACCAGTTTGTATTTCTGTTAGGCTGCCGAGTGCAAATTCTCAGGCTTTCTCAAACCAATCCTATTCTCTTTATTTGTCAATACACAGTTTCCCCAGTTTCAGAATTGACTTTGCGTTAGGTAAATTTACTGGTACTGTTCTGAACTCAGATTCCACTCCAACATCAATAAAGGCTAAAAAGCTATCTCGCAAATTAACTGTAAATTATTACTAAATAAATGAAATCACTAACACTGTTGGGGAGCTATCTAAATAAGTACCTTCATACTTTAGCAGCCTTTATCAGCAAAGCCAATATACTCCATTCATTCCACCCTTGCTTGTATCTTGACATCTCTGCAGTTACAATGGTGTAGTTCTACAAGCTAAGGGCTAGTCAGAAGATTGACCCTGTTCTCTATGTGAAAGAAATGGTATTGGAAGAGCTGAATACGGACCAGGTGGTCCCCAGAGGGTCTACATACAACAGGGTCAGAGCAACACGATCTAGCACCATAAAGTGACTGTTACACAAAGGGAAAAGGAACCTACACTTTTCCCCATAGTTGTTGCTAAATAGTTTAGACACTCTACCTCCACATAAGCAGAAAATTCTCAAAGAAGGTGGCTTTCCAACAAAAAAAAAAGTCCTATACTTTATCACAGATTCTGATACAAAGATACAAAGTAAGCTGGATACAAAGACAACTTACCTGTGGCTTTGTGAATTCAATGACAATTCTCTGTACTTCTACATTACAATCAAGCTTTGGAGTTTTCAGTTCTACTTCTGCATAGGGGTTGATATACAGTCTAGCAGAGGCTGATATTGGTCTAAAAACTTGAAGATAAAAAAAATGAGATTCATTTTCTGCTTACAATAAAGCAGGGAAGCAATCTTCAAGTACTTATTTCCACTGATGTATCAACCACTTTGTACTGATAATGTGCATGCCCAAGACCCACAGAATCAGGATGCAACTTTTACTAGAACTTAAGATAGCTCAGGAGCAGTCAGAAGGCAGACAAGCTCTAATGCATCCTGTTATGCTTAGGCTTTTGTAAAATAAAGTTAGTTTGGGCATGCTGCATGATCAGGTCAGGCTGTTAGTACACTATGTGTTAGTACAACATGCTCAGAACAGTTTATACTCATATTCACAGCTTACTTACTATACTGGTAGTCTTGAGGCTGGTTACCACTACATGGAATTCCTCTTTTCAGCTGATCCTGTAAAAGAATGTGAAACTGTCTAGCAATTGCTAAAAAAGCATTACTCATTTACAGTTCTCTAAGCTTCGAGCAGACCAGCTTAATTTCACATGTATTTTGCAAGGGCCTATTGCCTGTAAATGTGAAAACTTTTATAGAACAAGCACTTAAGAGTCAAGGGTTTAAATATACCTGATTAAAAAGAACTCTAACTTTCTTCTATTAAGCAGACAGTCCATATTCAACTTCTAAATTTTGCAGTAACAACAAATATGTGTTCATTTAGGCAAGTAGCTCACATGTACATACTAGAGCAAACGTTTGTTTTTCAGCTCCTTGAAGGTACCAGAACTATCTAATCACATTCTGCCCTTCCTCATTTAAACACATAAGGAGGCCACTTGAGCCTTCTGGTAGCTGCAGGTACAAGAGAAAACATTGACAAAAAGTAGTTAGGAAAATATCAGAACAGCCTAAGAGACCTGACAAATGTCACGCTAAACCTGAGTCTTAATTCAGAATAAGGGCTCTCTGAAATTATAACTCTTCAGAGTTTATTGGGAATGCTGCATTCATGCCCAAACATTTTATCTAGTTTCAGAATTGCAATGGCACAATCACTTAGAACAGGATGCCTGCTTTTAAGAAAACATAGAATCATAGAATCATAAAATAGTTAGGGTTGGAAAGGAGATTAAGATCATCCAGTTCCAACCTGCCTGCCATGGGCAGGGACACCTCACACTAAACCATGCCATTCAAGGCTTTGTCCAACCTGGCCTTAGCCATATTATCTATTACATAAAGGCAGATGAAGTGCTTGTTCCCATTACATTTTATAAAGACTATCAATATTAAGAGTTGCTTTTACAAGAAAAATATTTTCTAAGTTCAAATTTCTTTGATCTAATCCTTTCCCCACTTCCTTATTTAAAATCTGGCTTGTCTTTTATAGAAAGGTACACTTTCTCATTCAAAACACCTGTATTTCAACCTATTTCCCGTCTGCTGGTCTATATTAATGAAACCTAAATTCCAATGAGATTAATATAAAACAGCTACTCTCAAAACCAGCCATATACTGATGTTATTTAAATATGAAGACTGTTGCATGAAAGTAACAGATGCTACAGATTCCACAGTTTATTCTTACTATAACATAGTCCGGTTAGCTACTACAATAAATCTGATTTCCTGATAATGCTGCTTAAAATTACCATATGTATTCAGGTATTTATAAGACGTAACTAAATGAGACATGTTGTCATCTGTTCAGTTCCTGTAACTAAATGAGACATGTTGTCATCTGTTCAGTTCCTGTATTGGTTTTAAAGTTCTGAAGCAGCAAAGACTTAACAAGTGGCAAAGAAGATGTATGCAAGTAATCTTATGCTTATGACAAACTCCATTCTTTCCCTGTGCTTCTTCAAATCTTCTCAGATGTTTTCTGAGCTTACTCCTGCTCTCCCTCTCTTCCTCTTTTAGGCACAAGGGCACAAAGATGACTAATCACAACTGAAAAAAATTATTTAACTGTCATGAAACAGTCAAAAGATGCAAAAAACCCCCAAACCAAACAATGGAGATGGTGCCAGTACGCAAAGTGATACTAGTATACAGCACCAAAAATCTGTAAGTGGTGAGATGCTTCAAGTCAATAAATGGTCTGAATACTGCTCGCTACACTGGAAATGCTCTGCCTCAGCACTCAAAGAAAAGTTTACATGCAGGACAAGCCACAGGCTTTGGAAACAGGCAATTGCATTTTACAGTCCTGGAGGGCAAAATCCCCAATTCTTTCAGGAAGAACTTGTTAAAAACCTGCTAGATGATGGAAAAGGAAGTGGTACTTCCTGACACATAAAACAAGTTCAACAAAACTCCACCAGCATTCTTCACTTGCAGCTTATTCAATAGTAAATTGAAGTGTCTATGAGAAGTGCTGAGATCTAACATGTCAGACAACTCCAGGGAAGCCCACAAAGCCATCTGTACACAAGCACATCAAGGACTGATTCACAAAGGATCTTTCTGAAGTGCTGGAAAGACATTTGAAGGACTAAGATTTTTACTGCTGTCAGTTCAAAATGCGTATTGGTTTGTGTTTACACTTCAGACTGAAAAGCAATAGAGAAAACATCCAAAGACAGGTAACTCTGAAGGCTCCTGTAGCTGAAGTAGCTTGGCTACTACTAAAAACATGTAAGCATTTCTGCTAAAATAAAAAGACAGAAGTGGAAGTCCTCTGAAGATTTAAAGAACAAACCAAGAGACTGTAGACAGGAAGAAGAAACAACATATTCATAGTTATCTTCTACAGTGAATAAAAAGCCCCAATTTTGAGACAGTAAATAGTGCCCTAAAAGGGGAACCAGAACAAAAATAAAAGGACTTTAGTTTCAAGTTCCACTTAACAGATAAGATTCTGGCTGATTTTAAACACTTCACAGTTTTGATTCAACCCTCCCTAGTACCAAGCTCACCAGGTTACATGTATATTTTTTAAGCAGGGAATAAAACAAAAATGAAAGATATCTGTAAAAATGAGCACAACAGAATAAAGGAAACAAGCAGTGTTGTACAAGAACACACAGAACACCTATATAACCTTTACAAACATAAAGGGTCAAAAATGTAGCATTTTGGCAGAGAGCACTTATTCACACCAAAAATAGAATGCAGATAATATATTCAGACAAACTAACAGCAGTAATCAGATGTCTGCTATCCCAAGCAAATGATTTGCTCTCTAATTCATTCTAAGGTTTTCTTTCAGAACCTAAGATACTTGGTAGTGCTCTACCCAAAAGCTCACTAGAGTGACCACATTTCCCATTACCTAAAAATGTCTTCTCTAACCAAATGAATCAAGTAGCCATCTGAAATAAAGTTTTTAACAGTAATGGTGCTCTTGTAACTCACAAGTCCTCAGCTGTTGTACAGAATGTGTGCTCTCAGCCACAATTTATGTCTATATAATTGTCCTATTCATACTGCCCAAGTTCACAGTTTCTTTTCTGGGAAAGTAAGACTTCACAAATGACACACCAATGAAACGAAAGCATGAATGAAAGAACATGAACAAAAAACCATGAAGAAACATGAAAATATGAACAGAACTTTTGTTTTAAAGTAGACATAGCCCCTAGAAAGCCCCCACCCACAAACCTGATTTTATTCTTTCCCTGTAATTCCCATTTTAAGATACTCACCTCTCATTCTGTCTTATTTACCCCTCACTGCCCTTATGCTGCCTCATCTTCATCGTAAGTATGGTGCAGTTGTGATACTACAACAACTACAGAATATAGTACTGTTTAGTGCATTTTCTTCTACATTACCAGTATTTCTTCACGGGAGCCATGATAATAAATTCTGCTGTGTATGTTCCAGTAAGCACTGAGGCTGTCCAGGCACAAAAGCTGTGCAGGAAAGAAAACATGCAACAGATTCCACACTCAGTATTCAACCCATTCTAAGAAATCAGGTTTCCATTTGTGAAAACAGAAATCAAATGAAAGCGGACTAGACAACAAATCCACCATTAGCAGTGAGATGTATTTAATCTTATAACACTATTTTTAAAGTGAAAATTGAATTGCTAAAAATCAAGTTCTTAATGCACTATTAAACCTTTCTTATGTCATTCCAATAATTTCTTAGGTCTTTGTATACTCCTTTGGATTTGGGGGGGCAGCGAGAAGAGAGAGACTGCTCAGAAACAAGAATCCCAATTACATCAGGCATACAAACTAGAGGAGAAAATGGCAACTTGCCAACCTATTTGAAATCACAGTTACCATGCAAACTTGCTGTATAAGACATTTAATGAGGGGATCAATGTTTGCATTTAAGAGAAATTATTTAAACCATGGACTTCAAAGTTATGCCTTACAAAAAGCCAGTTATTTGTGCTCTACTTCTGTTTGAACACACAGCAAAATTAGGAAAAACAGGAAAAATCAAAAAGCAAACTACTTTTCCAACTGTTATGTAGAACCCCAGATTACTGCTCTCCAAGACCAGCTGCACTTGTGTAGGAAAAGAAAAGAATATCAAACAACATTACCTTGTATATTATTTTTGCAGCTTCATTCAGAATAGAAGGTGTCCAGTTCTCATTTGTTGTCTAAAAGTTCAAAGTGATAAAAGTCATGCTTTGCATCTTATTTAATGTATGTGTGGTTTTATTCTCTGCTTTCAGGCACAGAATGCATTACTTTGGTTTCCCTAGACTGTACACACTTAAGTGAAAAATCCAATATAAAATCTGACCATTTACTTTGATTTTCAACTCTTTATCCTACCCATAGCATCCCTATCATCTAAGGAAAAGAGGGGTTAGCTGAAATTTTATTCCCCCATTTCTCAAGAGACGCGGCAAAATACCTTATTATTTATCATCATGATGTAATTTTTGCTCCAACATATTTATTAGGCCTGGAAATACCCTGCCCTATGAAATAAACATACTGAATTTTACAGAGAATTTTACGGATAATAAGAACAAATCACTAGTCTCAGGAAGGTGATGTTCTCCAATCATCATCTCTTCTGCTAGCACAAACTTCCAAGTACTAATGGCATCTTTTACAAATACTAATGGCATCTTTTCTTCCAGATGTATGCATACTTTCTTTATATCATCATCTTGATATGTTACTTTTTTTTTCCTGCTACTCCAAAGTAAATCCAAACCAGCAGACCATGCATGCACACACACATTACCAGTAAACTAAGCTCGCTCAATGTCATTCCCAAGGAAATTGGACACTGTGGATCCGTGATCTACAAAAATAGAAAAATAACAGCTATGTATTTCTTCTGCTGCAAACAGAGATATATCACTTGATTCAAGTTGACTGAAATCCTGACCTGTTCTGAGAATCTTCCTTTGCTTAATTATTCTAGATGAAGCATTCTTGGAATATCTAAGTTGGGCCAAAACTAATATGGCTGCAGTTTCAAGAGTTAGGACTTCAACTGAAGCTGACAATTTCCTTTTGGCTTATAAAATCTTCATTAGGAAAGAATTAAGAACTATAGAGTACCACATCTCAGTCAGCTATATCATTTTGACTTCCACCCTTATAAACCTAGTGTCTCTGGAAATAGTCTCAAAATAGGTTTGAGAAATATTCTTTATCTAATGCTTTTCTTTCACATTGAATTATCTCATCACAAACTGCTGCAGCATTTTCCTAAAGGAAGCTCGAAGGAGGCTAGAATAATACCAGTTTGGTTCACATAACCATTCATATTTATGAGCTAAGTGGTTCCAACAATTCACTTCCTTTCTAACCTGTAAACCCATCAGTATCTGTCTTCCAAACCTTACCCAGGACACTGAAAAATTCTGCACATCATCTGCACACAGTAACATAAGAAGAACAGCCATTATCTACAGATAACGAGCAAGGCAATACTGGACAAGGCAAAAAAAGAGAATATATATTTCAAAGATCCAAAATATTTGATTGTCAGTCATATCTGAAGTACTTTATCTGAAGAGGTGCAGAAGAAACCACAGCAACTTTCTCATGATGGCAGAAAACAGTTTCTCTCTATGGACTAAACAATCATGCCTGCACTAGAGCCCAATATAAAATGAAAAGAGTGTGTTCCAGATACTTACATCATCTTCGTATTTCACATGAATGCCTGTGATTTTGACTTGCACATTTTTGATAACTTGAGTTGCAAGCTTTTCTAAGAAAGTATCTTTCTTCTCCACCTTCGGCTTGTCTAAAACAGTAAGTTTTAAACAGTCAGATTTCGATGCAGTTGTTGCATCCGGAGTTTAACCACACCAACCAGCTACACTCATGTACATTTAAAGTTTATTTTAAGGTGAATTCTTGACTTTAAGGTATTTTTATTTAGATTACATATTTTCATTTTTTTCCTTTCCTGTACATCCATATCCTGAAGACATGATGGTAGCTCTGAGTACACAACACAACCATAAGAAAATTTATCTCTAAGTTTCAGTCAAAGCAGTTTAGCTTACAGCAAGTTCTAGTTTAATATACTTCTCCCCACTCCTTCCAAGGTAAAATGTTCTCTCAAGAGTCCCTCAGCAATTAACGGTGAGTTTCAACAAGCAAATCAGTAAAATAGCGTGCTTTAGCACAACATACTCTTGAATAACCAGGGGAAGGTAATACTTGCACAAAAGACCAGTCCATTACAGGCTTTTAAACAACATTCTCTAAGAAAGTTAAAAAGCTGGAACAACAGAAGTGAAAAGAAATACTCCATTTCTTATACTCTGAAATATTCCATTTCTTCCATGCACTTATACTGTAACCATCTAAGCTAGGTCCATATCAGACTTTGTTATTCCATGTAGTGATACTTGAACTTATGCTGAACAAGAGAAGGTAGCAGAAGTTAAATATTCAGGGAAGTTCAGCATTCCACCCACAACAAACGTGCACATGCCAAGACAGTGACGATATTTACAATCCCTCATTACTTAATGACATAACTCTAAAAATATTATCTAAGGCTGAGCATCTTGACATTTTACTAAAATATGTCTAGATGAGCTGTTTGTTCTCTATCTTCACAGCTCCCTTGTCTTGTTCAATATTCACCTTCCAAAGTGGCTATCCCAGAGAATGCCACTAATCAGCCTGGCAAGCTTGTACATCTTTGTTGGAAATGCTACACACAGCTTAAGTTGAAGAAACATCTTGCTACAAATATTGGGATTGTTTTTTTCCCTAAGCTCTAAGGGAGGTTCAGGAGATTCCTTTAAGAATGAAAAGACTTGACTACTGAACACTGATAGAATACTATTTTAGTCAAGAGAGTATTTGATATCTGGCCGTGGCAGGGGGGTTGGAACTAGATGATCTTAAGGTCCTTTCCAAACCTAATGATTCTATGATTCTATATCTAGTAAAAAAAGTAGTCAGAAGCTCAAAAGAAACCAAAACATTACACCACTTTTACATGCAGCTCACATTTCCTCCTGTTTATCTTTATTTCACAACTCCCACTCTCTAGCAAAAGAAGCAAACACAATAATGGGGGGGGGGAGAAGGTAGAAGTGCGTATCGAAGCTTTGTAACTTTCAACTGCAAGCAGGAAACCCATCAATATTTTTCCAGCCAAGTGCAGCTACCAACACCAGAAGTCTGATACCTTAGAAAGTTTATGTAAGGACCCCACAAAGCTCTTACCCCAATTATAAGCCTACGCTGCAGCTTCTTCAAGACCAAATACTTAACGATACAACCACATGGGATAAAGCAACCCAGTATTAGTATGTGACTAGGAATGAAGACCTGCACAGTTTGGTACTTATAGACAATGATGATCCTCTTGGGAAAAAAAACATTAATTTCATTGTGCTTGAAGTATCAGTCATCACACTATGTTAGCTATTTAGAAGAGAAGCTAAAAGGTGCTGAAAAAACTCTACTGCTGTACCATCAGATGGTACATCAGTACTGCTGTACATCAGATTTACTTTACATAGGTGTTACTGGAATGTTTACATAGGTGTTACTGGAATAGTTACATAGGTGTTACTGGAATAGTTAAATAGGTGTTACCAGAATATTACAAAGAATTAAACAAAGAGATCTTTCCACACGCAGTTTTTCCAGCAGTCACAGCAAGTGCCACTAATCAGCCTACCAAATGCATACACTTCTGTTGGAAATGCTAGAGATAGCTCAAGTTGGAGAAACAAGCACAGCTAGCTAAGCAGAGAGAAACAAGGATCCAGAGAACAGATAAACAGCAGAAGAGCTCTCTCCAATTTACATCCTCTTTCAAACAGGAGGAAAACAAAAGGTATCACTGGATGTACATCCAAGCCTAAGAAAAACTAATCCAAACAGAAAGAGAAAAGAAAAAAGTCTTTAAAAAAGTTAAACACCATAATTTTTACCCACCTTTTGAGTGATCACGACCTTTAAAGGGTCTCTTAAAATGCTTTTTATACTTTTTACGCTTACGTCCTTTTTCAGTGCAAGCAATTTTTTGGGAAAAGGATAAAACTCAAGTTAGTAAAGCAGAAGTGTAAGAAAGCATAAGAAAAGATGGAAGAAAGTTTAGCTTGTTTTAAAGCAGAATGCCTTAGTGAGGTCTCATTAAAAGCTTTAAAAGACTTTCAGATCTGTTAAGGAAGTAATCAGCTACTTCTCATAGCACAGAGCTTAATTTTTCCTAATTTTTCCTAATTCATATATACCTACCTTTCAGGCAAGCAATTGGAGCCTTGCTTCCTCCTCCCGCCCCCCCGCGTTGTTTTTTTTTCCAAGTCACCACAGTTCAAAGCCCAGGTAAACTAAGTGACCAGTAAAAACTAGACTAAGGATACACATTTCTACTGGATCAATCATCCTGTCTATTATAAGGTCAAGCCATTTAAACGTAATGTCTGAAGAGTTCAACGAATTACAAATAATCACCAGGCTTCTCAGCAAATACATACCCAGACTCCTTCAGGAGTGCATTGCTTAACACAATTCCAGATCGCATATGGTCAAAAGAGAGATAAAAACAGAGCCATGACTGCTTATTAGAAAGCCTGGGGAAGAAGCCTTTCAGTAATTTGTTTGGTTTTTATTTAAGGCCCTCAGGCAGGTAATTGTCATAACTGAACAGTTAATAATATAAAAAAAGAAAAAAAGAAAAACATGGAAGTTTACATCCAAAAGAGGCCTCTACCATACAAGGGCACAACCTCCAAGTTAAAATATTTGAGATGTACATGGAAACCCAACAAGCACTCTTCAATATGACTCTCATGTAAATCACCAGTATGGTATCAAAGCAATGGGAAAGAACAACAGAGTAACTGCAGAAAAGGCATACAAAAATTATGGCTCTTTAAAAGCTTTATATGAAACCGAATATATTATTTACACACAAATTACAACCAGTCACAACCATTTCATGGATTATTGTTCATATATTTGCACATTTCTAACTTTGGTGAGTTGCATTGTTTCTTTTCCCTCTCTGGCCATGTACGGGTAAAAGAACTGGGCAATAGGGCTGCTGGTGCTTAACTTTAAGAGGTTGCAGCATGATAAGGGTGTATCCCACTAAAACAAGAAGGAAGCAAGTGCAGTAGTCTATGTCTGGGCAACAGCTTTATCTTTATGTAATTTGCATGCCTGTTCAAACAAAGAACAAAGTGCCTGCCAAGACCTCAACCTGTCTTGCAAGTAAGGTGATCACCCTATAAAGAGAAACTATGCCAAAGAGAAGCAACATTTTATTCTGCATAGTTCCTTTTAACACTACACGTAATCCTCTATAAATGATATTTGTGAAAGACGGCATCCTGCCCTTACTGTTGATTTTGTATTTCTAAGACCTTCATTCCCATGTATGAGAAAACCAAGGCACCACAATTTTCCTCTTGACTACCCTAAGCCATTACTATAGAGAAACTAACTGCATGGGTTTATGTGTGTTCTAAACCTGCACTCAGACAAAAGCCTGCTAAGTAATATGGGCTAAGAATAAATTTCTGAAAACTTGTCTCAAGACAGAAGTATAGCAGACACAACATAGTAACAGTTCCTCTAAATTTCAATGGAAAATCTTTACTTGTCTAACTTCAGAGCAGTCCAAATAAACAGAACCAGGGGAAAAAAGCATGCTAAATGCCCTCAATTTGCTACGGTTCATTTTGCCTGTCCGTGGCTTTAACACAGACTGAACTTCCAATGTCTCAAGCCCAGACACTCCGACAGTAATTACCCTCTATTCTCAAAACACCTAAAGATAGTGTTCTAAAACTACAGTAGAATGTTATTAGCATTTTATAACATTCTTGACCTCAATGTGGCTAATGGAAATCTTTCTAAATGGCACCGAAGTCTTTTTCAACAGCCATTCAATTAAGACAGGACTTGTCATTGCAAGTTTCCTCTTGAATCCACTGTCATTAAAATCTTATTACTAGAACCACCAATATGTGGATGATGACCAAATAAGTATCATTTCCTCGTTTCAATGTCTGGGTATTTTGGGAGGGGTTGTTTTTATGTGCAAAATATAACTAACCATGCATACCCACCAGGCTTGGTGTCCTTGTAAATCAGACTCTCCAACCCATACAAGGAATCTTGTGAATGAGTGCCTTGGTCCACATGGCAGCAAATAACCAAAAAAATCATTTTGTTTAAAAGAAGGAAAGCAGTTCCCAATTTAATATTAAGTTTTCAAAACTGCTATGACACATTAGTATTTCCAGTACAGTACCTGACAGCCAGTCACTTCAGAATATCAAGTCTCACACATTATCTACATAGACAAATTATGCAATTTTCATTTTACTCATAACCAGCCAAAGAAAACTGCTGCAAGCTTTGGTCTCCATATATGACTTTTCATACTGACAGATTTTAATAACTTAGAAAACAAAAAATGTTTTGCCAGCTCAGGTCAGCAGAGCTTGTTATCCTTTCCCCATCACACAACACTAAACACACAGTGACATGACTATTTTACTCAATATTTGAACAGCATGTCTAAAGAAAATATCCCCAGGACTGTTTATGCAAGGAAACTCAAATAAATGCAGGTGCTGATACAAGGTTCTAAACACACTAAGGTAAGCTGAGTACTAACCAGAAAAGCAAATATTGCTGAGAATTCATGGACACTGGCAACTTTCTATTCAATGTATTTCCTAGGTTTTCACCAACTATTGTGTTCTTAAAAGTGTACAGGAAGAGCTGAATTTCTTAGTTTATGGTGCAGCAGAGCAACTTGGGTCCTAAGACTTCTGCAAAAGCAAGGGATTTGCTCATACAACTATACAAGCACCCCTCAGTACAATATTCTAGTACACCAGAAACACAAATATCTATCACTGAGATACCAAAGAATATCTCAAGTTGGGAAGGACCCATAAGGATCTTGCTTGCAGTGTGATTGAGAGGATAACTAGAGTTCAGAAGAACTCAATGTGAATGTTCCTCTAGCTTTCCCTTCACAAGGCTGAAAGTTTAAAACTGCAAAACATGACTGAATCTGATTCTAGTTCTTTATACAAGGAGTTGCGCTCCTGAGGTATCATTTTACATGATTCCCCACCCCCCCCAAAAAAAAAAAAATTTTAAATCCTCACAAATGCTGAATGCATTAAGTTTCTTTCAAAAACTATGACAGTCACAGGCACACAGACTCACTCTTAACTTTATGAAATTCCAGAACTGGAATTCCTCAAGCAGTACTCATTAGGCTAAACTTTTCTCATTATATTAGCTCTTCATCCCATTGCTACTACTGCAAAGAATAATGGCTGAAGCATTGGTACTTTACAGTATCCATGTCCTACATAACCAAGGTTAAACTTCTATGAACATTCCTTTGCCCCAGTATAAAGTATGGCTGCAAAATTCATCGACTTAAGTTTCTTAGCTCTCATACAGTTTCTGGCACATTAAAGACAAGAAATAAAGCAAGGATTCTCTAAACAGATTGCCACATTGCTATCTGAAGTAAACTGCAAATGTAAATCAACTAGCAAAGCAGAAACAAGGCAGTAAATAAACGAAGAGATTACAATCAAACTATCTTTTTCAAGTGTTCCGTGCTTCATTTCATCTTCAGTAACTTTTCCAAGGCAAGTAATTTGCAGCATTACATGAATCGTAAAGATGCATCTTAAGAACCATTATACCACCCAACAAACAGGTCTCACTTCAGACAAAAACTTCAGTAATAACGTTTTCCTCTATCATAGGCAGTTACCTGTCATTGGTTTAGAGCTTGGCTTCTGTTCAAAGAAGCCAGTCATATACTGTAATTGCCACAGATATTTGTTACAACAAAGAATAACCCCACCACAAATCAGGTTAACTGGAGTGAAATTATCAATTATTTTATCTTATAATTGAAAGTTGAAATTTTTTTAATGACCTAGGTCAAAATTTTCTTATGTTAAATCGTGTTCTTGTGTCATTAATTATTTCCTGCTCAAGACAGTCTCATTTCTCAAACCAGTCAAAATGCAGTGTATCATAAAAGGACAGCAGAAACTGATATGAAAGTAGTATTCTTGCAAACTTTACCACTATCCTTAGATAAACATCTATTACCAAATCTCTAAAGCAATATAACAACATCAGCCTCATGTAATGCAATTTCCATCTTTGGTCCTGTTTCCCTATAGCTTTAAGAAAAAAAGGAAAAGAAAAAAACAAAGACATACCATACTATCAAATTCCCATTTCCAATGGAAGCTGACTGGATAAATGAGTGGTAAAAGTAAATAAATAACATTTCTTTCAAGCCTTACAGGAAAAAGGTTTTTCAAAGCACTGCAGTAAGATTAGCCAGACGCTTGAAAAAACAAAATTCATTATGTCAGTCACAAAAAAGAACAAAAAGAATAGCACATTAAGTCCTCAAATTCCAGTGGATATTTGTATTAGTAACTCAGTACCTTTCTCTGCTGCTTTCAGCAAGGCTTCCTCAATCCTTGCCAGTTCCTTTTGTTTATTATCCTGTAAGTATTTTTCTTCCTTCTCTGCATCATATTTAATGCCTGTAAGCCAAGTTGTGACAGCTTTAATCCTAAATTTCAAGTTACATAAATGTATAATCAAGAAATGCATGCCACATATTCAACATGATGTTGCAAAATACCTTGATAAAGGCTATTCTAGGTTTAATTGCTGAAAGCTGCATCCAGCCTCTAAAATAGTTAATTTTTACACAGCAAAATACAGAATGATCACACCAACAGTCCAATATTAATTCATAACAGAATCTTTCCTTGGAAATTCAGGGCCTCCAGTGTGATCTGTGCAATATCCCGCAGGTTTGTAAGTTCTACTACATGTATATTTAACACCCTAGAAACTTGCAAGTTTTCTTAACACAACAGAGGTTCTGATTTCAGAGAAAACTAATCTAGCTCTTTGATCCTCTTCCCTCTCCCTAAAAACAGTTCTAATGGAATTACTACTTTCAACTGCTCTCAGTTAGAAGCAGAAGAACAGTACCATGCAACAGCTAAAAGACCCAAGCCATGCCAGAAAAGTGGATTCAGAATAAGCACACTTCAGAGGAAACCTGGCTGTTGTCTTAAACTTGGAACGGATACAACCAAGGATTTACATAAAAGCAACAGGGGCTGTTTTCTCCCACCCCTCTTCCACTAACTTTTGCATAGAAAAAGCATTTGTATATAAATTTCCCTGAGGGAACAGAACATATAAATGGCATCTTACATGAACTACTTGCTATTATGTATATGCATCTACAGGGTACCCTTTCTTTTCCATTAAATTGTGCTGTTGAAGAATTGACGTACTTGCTCCAGGAACTATTAGAAGATACAAGCCTTCCAGAGTTGCAACAACCGCCTCACCATAGAGATTTTTCCAAGGAATCTTCAGAGTAAGTTTATCTAAACAAAGCAGATACAGTTAATCAAAACCAAAATCTACACTGTTGTCCATGCAACACCTCGGACATCAAAGAGCATTAGCCCTGTATCTTGACGTCCTAAACAGGAGGCAAGCAGAAACCATATGGGCCTAAACATTTTATAAAGTCCTTGAAGTGATAAAAAGCATGCAGAGAAAATACAAACAGCTATAAGCAAGAAAATACAGTTTGAGTCAGAAGACTTCAGCTCAAAACTTGAGATCATGACTAGAGTTCAGTTCACTGGGATGAATGCGATTTTCCCACGGAAGTAGAAATACAACACACATCTCCAACAAATATTTCATGTGAAAAAGCAATGCAGGGAATTTTTTTTTTTAAAAAGCATACATCTGAGAGTCCCTAAACCCTTGACATGTTTGCCAGTCTCAGAAATCTTACTTAAATTCTTCGTATTTCTTATCTGTCCTTTAAAGAGCCATGCGCATTCTGCCCATGCTGAACAGCTCTCTTGATCAACCATGTACCTGGAAAAAACCTCTCAGACAGGTTTTTCATAGCAGCTGGTAAAGTTACACAAACAGGGTTTGCCAGATAACATTTTATGATTTATCCAGGGCAGTTACATTGGACTTCAGCATGTTTCAACAGCACATAAGAGATCATTTAAGAAAGCTTAATGAAAGAAGCAGGACTCAGGTCAGAGGCAGGACTGACCTTTAGGCCTATACTAACGTTTCCATTTCAACAATTCCATTGAAGCAAAAACTTACCTATCTGACCAACTTTTATTCTAAAAGGTATATCCAGTTCACTCTGTACAGAAAAAAGAGAAAAAAAAAAAGAAAAAAAAAGAAGAAACATTGAAGAGATCCATGTATTTTAAAGATAAGCTGGTTTATACAGCAAAATTACTATCTTCTGTTACGATGATTTACCCAGAACTGAAGATGCAAAACAGAAACAGTTCTACAAACAACAGACTTAACTATTCAGCAATACTCACATGAACTCAGGAATTCATAAATGCAGTTAAGGCTTGTAGAAAGCCTCAAAACAAAGAATTTACACATTTCTGGCAATTCTCTCCAAGTATGATAATATTTTCATTCCAAAGGTTACTAAAGAGTAAAATTTTATCCATATACAAGAATTTGCATTTTATATTTTTTATTAATTTGCCACATAGGTCTTTTGTTTTTAATAACAGCATTTAGTATTTACAAACATATAAAAAGTCTTGCTAACAGTACTGAGAAAGCCTCTGCAAAATGCCTACCAAACATCAAGATACGCTCACAAATGAGAAACATGTTATTATTACCATCAATTACCATCAATTAAAATCTCACAAAGTATCTCTACTTTCAGCAAAAGCAAGAATGTAACCATAGGAATATCAAGAACATAAAAGGAGAGGCAAAGTAAAGAGGGAGCACGAGAAAATAAGTGGAAATATTACGAAGTGAACACATTAAGCTTCCAGAAATGTCTACCACGTCAGTATTCTTTTCAAACAAGTTAACCACAGTTCAAAGACCTGAGGATAAATCTTAACCTCAAAGATTATAAAAAGCAAACCCATTTTCCCAAAAGAGATGGATGCTAACCACTTCTCTCTTCCCTTGTACTAGAAAACAACCTTGACCACTTTTCCAACAACTTAAAATAATTTAAAAGGGCTGCTCCAAACAAGAAATTAACATTTCTGCCAGATTTGCAAAGTTTTTAAGTAGCATTCTGAGCTGCACTTAGGAGCCTCTCATCAACCTTTTTAATTAAAAGTGATTAAATGTGTGACACTTCCACAGATTATTCTTTTTTGGTACCTTGAAGAAAGAACTGAAAAGCAAGAGCTATGGAATATTTTAACCATGTTCTGCTTGTAACTGCATAGTCCTAGAAACTTTTCATAAAGCTTTAGATTTCTCATGGTCACAACTATTCTTCAATACTTCCCAAATATTCCTTCCTGCAGGCTGCTACATGTTAAAAATCTGGTCAATAAACTTAACCGGAAGCTTTCTGCTCAGTTTGATTGGTTTTGGTTGCTTTTTTTTTTTAATATATCAGAAGTGAGAGAGCAAACAGACTCACTTAAAATAGTTTGATCTCCAAACTTTCTTTTTAGTGGTAAGAACAGACATTAAGAAGAAGCTGAAACAAACTGTGACAGCAAAGAAAGATCTCTGCTTTTAATAAAGTCAGAAGGAGAAGACTGCTCCACCAACTAAATCTACTTCATTTAATACTGTATTAATGGCCCATAAATTAAAACCATGGGAGCACAGTGGGCTGATGTTAACACAACAAAAAGATGATTTACTGAAAATAGTTCAAGACTATAACTAAGAAGAAACATGCAATATTAGCTTTGAAGATTTTAAAAGCTGGATACTGGATACAAACTGACAAATACAGAAGCTCAGATTTTAAGCTTTTTGAAGCTTATAAGCTCAGAAATAGGTAAAAATTTCTAAGGAGCCTAGATCAGTCTGTCATCAGCCATTTTTCATTATAATTGAAAAAAAAAAAAAGAAGGATAAAGCTGAAGAAATCCATTGGAAAGAATTCATTACTATCATAAGTTTTTAACAAAGTAAAAAAGGAACATTAATAGCAACTACCCCATTATACTTCTGCACTTTTATAAGTGAAGTCACACAAAACAGAACAAAAGCCTCGAAAGAGAGAAGTACATTATTTCACAGAATGACACTTCAGCAATGTCAGCAAACTCTTTTTCTAACATGTTTTGCGGAAAATAATAGTTATATGGTTACTTTTTCAAGATTAATAAGAATTCATTTGTAAAACAATTTTGCACAATTTTACTTCAGAAATCTTACACTAATCTTGTTTAGTTGACTTTGCATGAGCTGAAGGCTAAATTCTGAGAAAGGTCTGACAAACCTCCATTTTAATTAAATGCTCTTTTATTATGACCAAGGAAAAAAAAGCCACTTTCAGCGAGCATAACACTAAAACTAACAGTTTGCTCATCTCCCTTTTCCTTAGGAATTCCTTCTGTCACATTTGTAAAGTCCAGTATCTACATACAAAAATCAAAAGTTAGTAATTTTCTAGTGGAAAACCTCAAAAGGAAAACAAAACCAGTCCAGACAGCAGCAGACAGGCAAACTAGGACAGAAAAAGTTGCACCATATCATATTCCTTTAATCTCTTCTTTTTCAGGAAGGTATAGGTACTTCTGTAAAAATGGTGTTCAACATCAACCTTCCATTAATTACTTTTGCATAGAAATCTAATAAATTGCAATTGGAAAGCAGTCAGAAACATCCCTTAGTTTTAGTTCTTGAATTTGCCTCAGCTCGCTCTCAGCTCTGGTCAGTCACACAAAAGACTCTGCATTTTTGTAAGTCAGAACTCCTAGAAGCATAATCAACTATTATAAGAAAGAAAGACAAAGCAGATAACACGTTCTTCCTTCCTTTTTTTTAACTACCAGATTATGAAGATACTTGTGTCAAAACTTTTCAAATACAACGTTATCTGGAATTGATGAAAAGGGCAGGTAAAATATGAAACTTCAGAACAATGAAGAGAAAACAATAGTTAGGCCATACAAAGATCCAACAGGTTTTCAGTTCACAGAAGAGTAATACTTCTCTTTATTGAAATCTGAAGCACACTAAAAGCTGCAGTGAGATTCTCTCAGTTGCACAGGTGTTTATTAGCTCAATTAAAGAACATTAAAATCAGTCAAGTTCTTTCTTCAGGCAAGAACATGAGTACTAATGCAATTTATTTCTTGTTTTTCCTTCACTCCATCACTCCGATTTTGAATGGAGCATTTGAATAACCATATTTACTTTCACAGAGTACACATCTTACTGCCTGCCAGTTTTAATATGCATCAATTTACACAGAACATCATAAAAATAAAGTTTCAATCCCATCAACTGATGTAGAAGGATTTATTCTCCCTTCATTCCCACACCAATAACTGAGAAAGGAACCACTGTGTTTCAGAAGACTGCAATTCTCAGAAGATCAACCAATTTGCACAAGTTGTACCTTGAAAAATCTATTTATTCAAGCAAAGCTGGGGAAAAAGAAAAAAAAAAAGTGCATATATAGGCCTATGCCAGCCCATTAGATCTAGTAAATCGTTCAGAAACATAAAAACATCTATTGCATGGACATAAAAGTGCAGAAAAAAGATCTCCCCAGGAGCCTTCTCCAGGCTGAACCAGCCCAGCTCTTCCAGCCTGACTCCAGAGCAGAGTTGCTCCAGCCCTTGCAGCATCTTAGTGGCCTCCTCTGGACTCCCTCCAACAGCTCTCTTGTGGTGTTGCCCCAGAGCTAGATGCAGGGCTGCAGGGGAGTCCTCATGAGAGCCAAGGAGGAGAACCCCTCTTCAACCTGCTGGTCATGTTCCTTTTGATGCATGCTTTTAAATATCTTACCATTTCAAGCCTCAAATAGTAGAACAGGTTCTATCTGCATGCATGGATAACATGGAAAAACTTCAAAATCCTATTGCTAAGTTCTCTTCTAGAGGACTACACATCGTTTTAACCACAGCTTCTTTTCTTTTGTTGTTCAAGTAATGAGCAAAATTAGAAGCAGTTAAGTAAGGACTTACTTCCAATGACCAGTAAAGAATTCATACTGCGTAACATGAGACTACAGTAATATTTTACCCTATAGACCCATAAAAGCAATTTTTAAATTATTAGAATACTTACTAGTGCATTCTCCTTTATCTGTAAATTGTCAAGTGCCACATTACCTGTTCAGGAGAAAAAGTACAGAACAAGTGACTACAACTATTACGTAAATCAGAACAAGAAACACAACTACAACCCTTGCAAGTACACGTTATTAAAATCTGAAAAACTTTGTCCAGATACAGAATAGCACAGTAAATGTCTAATTTGTTAGTTATTAAACACTGATTATTCAGACAAAATTTCATGGATGAAGAGATTACAGATGCCTTAGATGTCTGCATGTTTCTATTCCATTAAATATATGTACAATAATAGGAAATCCTTCTTAGTATTCATTGTGAATGTCCTACCAAGGTAGCGTAGACTAGGAACACTGCATCTTGTTTTTGATTTTAGATAAAAAAATCATGAATCATAGAGCCACAAAAATATACTCCTATTTTCACAAACACATTAACTGTCATTGGCAGCATAACAGGATTTCCAAAGGGAATGCTTTCACATAGAATTATACTTGAGAAAAGGACATACACCTCTTAGGACTTTAATGCCAGATTCCTCAGAGCTATGTTCCACAATAGAGACACTAGTATTTTATAAATGTTAAATTATTTACTACCATGGCAAAGTTAAAACTAAGATGACACGAAAAGTCTTTGTGTATGGAAGGCATCTAAAATACCCAGACTTCTCTAGACAGTATAGAATCACAGAATCGGCTGGGTTGGAAATACCTTTAAGATTAAGTCCAATCTTTACCCCAGGACTGCTAAATCCGTCACTAAACCATGTCAAACTCCATCAGTACTTCAACTGTTTCTTTGCATGCCTGCAGGGCATCAAACTGACGTGCGGGTGCGCTCACTGAGCACTGCTACTCCACACTATTGCACCGTCACATCTGTTTAATGCACATTGTTTTAGCAGGTGAGAGACACAGCTCGGCAGGCACCACAACCAAGACCTGCCCTCCTCCGGGGGCCGCCATGTAGAGTCCACCTGACGCTCCACCACGCCACAGGCAGACCTCAGAGCACGCTTGGGCTTCTACCCAGTGTATTCTCAAGAAAGAGAAGACAAAAAATGGCTTTTTTTTTTTTTTCCCTTGCCGACAGATTCCTCCCTCAGAGCACTCGGAGGGCAGCGGCGTGCACCCACACCTCGCCTCAGCGACTGCCACAGCTGGGACCCCAACTTCGTTCTTTCTCCCCCTACAAACTGGAGCCCTGTCACTGTGCTTGGATCTCTCCTGCAGCTTTCCTCGAAGCAACAGCAGGACCCTCCGGCCGCCACCGGGCAGAGGTCGCCGCTGGGGGAATGGGGGAGCCGCCACAGATCGACCTCAGCTGCCGACCCTCACGAGGAGGGAGGGAGGGAAAGAGACAAGGTGCAGAGGCCACGGGCACAGAGGGGCAGACTGTCTACCACAGCGAGGCGAGCCTGCGGCCACACGCTGACCTTCCGCCGCTCACGACGGGCCGCGGCTCCGCAGCTCGCCCCCTCCTCACTGGGGGAGGCAAAGTACAGACCGACCGCCCCTCAGAGGGGCCGCCGGTGCCTCAGCCCGCCAACCCCTCACGGGGGGACCGCAGCCAACGAAATCCGTTTCCCTCCCACCACCCTCCTCAGTGACAGCAGCGGCCCCGCAGCACCACGGAAGCTACGGGCGGGAGAGCGAAGGGGCTCCTTACCCCCCCATATGCCCAGCTTGAGCTGAGACTTGTTCAGGTTCTCCACATAGTCGCCCAGGAAGCGGTTCAGCAGATCCGCCACCACCGACTCCAGCACCATGTTGGAGGCAGGCTCCGCTGCGTGCGCACCGCGGCCCACCGGTACCGGAGAGCGGCGAGAGGAGGGGGCGGTGTGAACAGCGCCGGGTGCAGCCCCGGCAGTCAGCTGACGGGGCGGGGGCAGCCCGGCGCCTCACGGGGGGCGGAGCCGCGCGCAAGGGGCGAGTGGAGAGAGCGGAGCGGCTGCGCAGCGGTGCTCGGCCGCGGGCTGATCCTCGGGTGACTGCCGAGGCGAAGGGCCGGAGCGTGGCGGGCAGCCCCGCGCTGGCAGAGCCGCGGTGCCGAAGGAGCGCCCTGCGGCGGGCAGCGCTCCCGCGCGGTGAGGTGCGGTGTCGCCGCCGGAGCGTGGCCGCAGTCCCCGGTTCCCCTGGTCCTCTTGGAGAGGAAAGGCACCGTGCGCTGAGCGCGGCCACGGAAACCTTCGTTTGTCACCGGCACCCTCTCCCCGCCTCCTCCGCAGCCCGCGCGGTGACTGGAGGCTGACGGGCCTGGCGCCCCTGAGGCGATTCCCGCCCAAAGCTGTGTACACCTGAGGGGCAGCGAGCGCCCCCTGGTGCAAGTGAGGTAAATCCACAGTGCTCTGCTTGGATCTTGGAAATAGCGGGCGGATACATATCATTCTCATTCCAGTAACAATGTCAAACGCATCTTCAGTTTGTTGAATATGGAATACGCCATAGGATCCAGTCCAGAGCATGCAAGCAGCACAAGATTATTTAGCACCTTTATTCACATTTTAAGGGACAATTGCCACACCTGTACCCCATTACAGTGTATGTATATGCCTACCTTTCCAGCAAGCATTTTTAAAACGAAGGATTCAGTGGATAAGTCAGATTTATGCCACAAAGACCAGTGTTCAGGCCTGCACTGCATGTTAAACACAATGGCCCAGATGCAGGTTTGACTGGGGAAGTCATACTGCTGAATGCTAGAGATGTATGGAAATGCTAGGGAGGTCCACCAGGCTCTCTCCTTGTGCCCTCTGTAAGCCATGTATCAACATAAAAGTGCAAAAAGATGTTACAAAACCACACATAGTTTAAGGAAAAGAAGCTTTTCTCCCCCCACCTATTATGGCAGTTCTTGCCCAAGCACGGAAAGATGCTTTATTAATGCTCAAAATCATCTCAGCATGTTTAATTCTAGTCCTTTTGCAAAACTGGGCTGTGCCTGAAAGGAGGTAAATCGGTTTATGTTGACTTGTTAGTGCTGCCTTTGTTCTTTATGAGAAATGCAGCTGTGGTGGCAACCCCAGAGGTGATTTCAGGGACCCTAAGTCTGTCTCTGTACCTTCAAACTGAGCACGTGGTGATTCTGACAGGATTACTTTAACAGTGTAATCTCAACACTACAGGTTTTTTATATGTGGATGGCATTAAAATTGTCTAAAACTGTGGAAGAATAAGGCATGCTGTGAATTATTTTAAATAAAGCTATCTTTAAAAACACCCAGCATTGACTACAGCCTCTCTAGTAAGTTACAAAGTTATGGAGGGAAGGTGTACAAGGGAGTTGTGAATGCCAGGCACCAGCCCACACCACTTGCATGTGACCACAGGCTGCAGTATACTAAGGAGTAATGCTAGTCTGTTCTCTGGAAGACAAGAGTTGTTTATGGACAATTGAGCACACTTTTGCCCCAGTAAATGGGAGTAATGTAACAAGAAGAGGCCAGCTATTAGGGAAAGGGTTTACAGTTTTAATTCAGAGCTGAGACCCAAAATAATCAACCCCAAACTCTTTTTTTTCTCATCTCGCAATACAAACTGTCAGCCTCCAAAGACCACGACAGTTATGTGTATCTCTACAGCTAAGGGCTGGACATACATAAAGCTGATTCTATATATGTATATATATATATAAAACTGTTTATATTCTAGTGAGTGACTTAGCAGTAATGTTTGTCACAGAGACAAACTGCATTTGGAAGGTTTATTTCTTTCCATCGTAAGAAGAGGTTGCACTGATTTCTAAAATAAAGCTTCTCTTACAGAAGTATTCCCTGAAATTCCTGAGCAACATGACATTAATTTTATTGAACAAGTGCTCTCATGCCAGTTTCTCTGGTTTTCCAAAGTCAAACTCATTCCTGACAATTTTTTTAATCTTAAGTAACATGTTAATACAACTTATCTTCTATAATGCCTTAAAAGTTCTTCACCACTTAATTGATTTCTGCATATCCTAGTGTTGAAGTAGAGTTTTAGTCAAAAATTCCTGAATTCTCATTTTATGGTCTATTTAGTTTCAGAGAGGAAGACAAATTGCTAATTAGGGAAAACTATAGAAACTGGCAATTTATGTTTTATTTGTTTCATTCTTTTGTGCAGTGTTGTCTGTTCAAAGTCCTTCCTACCGCAGGAAAGTGGCAATGCAAGCAAACACAACAAGGAGTTGTGAATAGAGCTTCTGCTGCTCTTCTGATAAGTAACAAACTTTCATTTGTGCTTTTTGTTTTATGAAACTTTCAAAGACTTTATCTTATTTTGCTTTTGTATATACAAGCCACAGGTGAATAACTAAGGTCTGAGCAAAAGTACTGGCTAAACAGTGGCAGCTCATGCTCTTAATGTATGTAAATATAAGAACAGTTGTGCAAATTAACGGCATTGCATGTTCTGTATAACAATTATACAATACAGCCAGCATGATATATCCATTTTCTACTTCATGTTTCATAACAGTCATAATTTTTGCACAGCAAAACAGAAAGTTAATCACAACTAAAAAGGGTGTTGAAAAACATAATAAAATAGCTTCTATGTGGTTAAATACTGTTAGTTAAAAACTGACTAAAATGTCTGCCTAAAGAACTCCATGAATTTTTAAAATCTTGTTATAGTATATATTTGAGTAAATTAAATTTCTACTGCTCTTTACAAACGTATTTTCCTACTGAACATGAATATATGACCAAGTGGATCAAAGAATTGCTCCTGAAGTAACATGATTGCTAAGGCACATGAAAAACAACAAGGTGCTTGGTGACAGCCAGCATGGCTTCACTAAGGGGAAATCCTGCCTGACCAATTTGGTGGCCTTCTATGATGGGGCTACGGAACTGATGGACAGGGGTAGTACAGTTGATGTCTTCTACCTGGACTTGTGCAAAGCGTGCGACACTGTCCCACACAACATCCTTGACTCTAAATTGGAGAGACATCAGTTTGATGGATGGACCACTCGGTGGATAAAGAACTGGCTGGATGGCTGCACACAAAGAGTGTGGTCAACGGCTCAATGTCCGGCTGGAGACCAGTAACGAGTGGTGTCCCTCAGGGATCAGTGTTGGGACCGGTCTTGTTCAGCATCTATGTCGCTGCCATGGACAGTGGGATTGAGTGCGCCCTCAGCAAGTTTGCCGATGACACCAAGCTGTGTGGTTCAGTTGTTACGCTGGAGGGAAGGAATGCCATCCAGAGGGACCTCGACACACTTGTGAGGTGGGCTGATGCCAACCTCGTGAAGTTTAACCATGACAAGTGCAAGGTCCTACACCTGGGTTGGAGCAATCCCAGGCACAGCTACAGGTTGGGCAGAGAAGAGATTCAGAGCAGCCCTGCAGAGAAGGACTTGGGGGTGTTCATTGATGAGAACATGAACATGAGCCGGCTTCAGTGTGCGCTTGCAGTCCAGAAAGCCAACCGTATCCTGGGCTGCATCAAAAGGAGCGTGACCAGCAGGTCGAAGGAGGTGATCCTGCCCCTTTACTCTGCTCTTGTGAGACCTCACCTGGAGTATTGTGTGCAGTTCTGGTGTCCTCAGCATAAAAAGGACATGGAACTGTTGGAACAAGTCCAGAGAAGGGCCACGAGGATGATCAGGGGACTGGAGCACCTCCCATATGAGGATAGGCTGAGAAAGTTGGGGCTGTTCAGCCTGGAGAAGAGAAGGCTGAGTGGAGACCTCATAGCAGCCTTCCAGTATCTGAAGGGGGCCTATAGGGTTGCTGGAGAGGGACTCATCATTAGAGACTGTAGTGATAGGACAAGGGGTAATGGGTTAAAACTTAAACAGGGGAAGTTTAGATTGGATATAAGGAGGAAATTCTTTCCTGTTAGGGCGGTGAGGCACTGGAATGGGTTGCCTAGGGTAGTTGTGAATGCTCCATCCCTGGTGTTCAAGGCCAGGTTGGACAAAGCCTTGGGTGAGACGGTTTAGTGTGAGGTGTCCCTGCCCATGGGGGGGGGGGGGGGGAACAAAGAAAAACAACCCCCCAAAAGCCTCATACACAGTTACATGACATAGGAGTTCTGTATTTAGAAGAACAGATACAGGACAAACAGAAATTTTGGTATTTGCTTACCACTGTCTGAATACACAGTGTTCATTTGCCCGTGCAAAAAAAACTATGCACTCTGCCCTTTTTTTTCTAAATACCAGTATTGAATAGACATGACTGGTTTGATAAATATCAATGGAATCAGTAGTTTCACTCAAAGTCACCAAAACCAACATGTCCTGGTTGATTTGTAGACACTCGTCATGTATTATTGCAGCAGTTCATTAAATGAGAGCATTTTGTGACTCCATCACTGCATAATAATTTACTAAAAAGAAGACGTAAATACAACACTAACACTTAACTTTGTGCTTTTGCTATTTATGTGGCCTTTTAGGGAAGCCTTTACAAAAAATAAAGCCTAAAAAAAAAAACAGAAAAGCTGTACTGAAAGTATCAGTTAAAGCTTCAGTTTTATGAATAGAAATACACATTGCAACAACAAATACTTGTTTACTGTTGCCTGTTACACAATCTTGCATGCATAAATAAATAATAGCAATTCTCATGCTAATCTGAGGTGGCTTGATAGCTCAATAACCAAGCTATCTTCTATTTTACTGCATTAATATTACAAAATCTCCAGCTCCTACCATCTGACTGTTGGCCAGTGAACAGATGGCAAATTTTATCCACTGTACCTCACTAAACAAGTGCATGCCTATTAGCAGTTGGGAAATCAGCCAGCTAATGGGGCATCAACTCTCATCACAAAGCCTACAGAGAGGAGAGGACTTTGTGATGAGTTAGATCAGGTTGCCAAGAGCTGTGTGTGGACAAGTTTTGAAAATCTCCAAAAGATGGTTATGCCACAGC